CTCGGCTCCTGCGCCACAGCTCAGTGAGCTGTGGGAGGAAAGGTTTTGCCTTCGCTGCTCTGCACGGCCTGGCCTCTCGCTCCCCCGGGGCAGACGCCTGAGGAGGCTGAGAGCCAGACCCACGGAAAAGCTTGTGATTTTTGTCCCCCAAGTCCTGCCCAGTCCATTGGGACAGTGGTCACTGCACCAAGAACAAGGGTGAGGGAGAAAGTGCCATGGGGCTCGGCCAACGCTGAGCTCCTCCACTGCCCTCACAGGGGGCAGGCAGGCCACCAGGCAGCGCCAGCCACAGGTCAGGGAACCCAGCCCCAGAAAACCCTGGTCACAGAGGTTTAAGAAAGTTTATTTCTCAGCTGTGTTCTAGGTCTGCAGAAGGCAGTCCAGGGCTTTGCCACCTCCGGGGTCTTGGGGAGCCAGGCTCCCCCTGCCTGCTCCCCACCCTGGTGAGGGGCTCTCTCAAGGTCCTCTCTTGGTCTGGAATCAGCAGGAAGCGGGGGGCGGGGCGACAAAAGGGCACCTTTGGCTGACCCAGAACCTTCAGACAACTCCCAGACGCCACTGGCTTCCACGTGCCTAGTTCTGCCCAGAACATAGGCACCTATGCCAAGCACAGGGAACCCAGGCAGGACGTGACCACAGACCCACCACAGGCACAGAGGGCAGGATCTCTGTCCCTCTGGAGGTGGCCCCCAACCCCCGCAGTGTCCACCTGAGCTGGTGACACCCCATGGTACCCAGGACACCCCTCTGGCAGAAGTGGCCATATCCCAGGGCCTACCCCAGAGTGTCCTGGCCCTTTGGTTGAAGGGATTCAGAAAAGAGAAGCCAACAGGACCATTTCCTGCTGGGAAAATTCCAGTGACAGATGTGTAGTCCAGGATTCCAGGGGGAACCAAGGTCGCCTGAGTGAGCCGAGGCCAGAGGTCCAAGCGTGGCAGCAAGCTGTCTGCGGGTAACTACATACAGCAGGTGGACACAGGAGCTGGCCTGGCCCCCTCAGCCCACCCCAGAACCCCAGCCCAGCCTGAGCTGTCACTTCCCTGAACACACAGAGGGGGCAACATCCCAAGGCTGCAGGGTAGTCAGACCTGACACCTGCAGGGCCAGTGCCGGGGGTGACAGAGGGGGTTCCACTAGGCCAGCCCAGGGCTAGAACCCCAGCCAGGGCGTGTTGCCTCTGCTCCATCTGAATAGCATTCCGCTCACCTCTGGGGCCAGCACGATGCTCATGGCGTCAGCCAGCTGGGCACTTTGGGACCCCCCCAACTCCCAGGGGTCTATGTGAAGGCCAGTGCTGCCTGTGCTAAAGGCCTCAGCCTGCCCTGCACACAGGTCTGAAGGACTGTCCTGGGTAGGGCAGCCTGAGCCTCGCGTGAGCCCAGAGGAGCCAAAGGCCCCCGACTCCAGCATGGAGGAGACGGCCCAGCACTGAAGTCAGAGTCAGGCTGTTGCACCCCTCCCCCCAACAGGCACGCCCCTCCCTCCAACAGGAGGCCCCAGGCCCGATCCCTGGCAAGCCCTTGCAGCCCCGATGCCTTCCCCAAAGAAGCCCCATGAGGCCTCACCACTGCCCCCAGGCCCCTGCAGCCATCCTGCACCCCCAGGAGGCAGGCAGCAGTCAGGCCAGTGCTGGGCGGGGCCCCCTTCTCACCTGATGGGCCCTCCTGGCCAGGCTTCGGAAAGGCAGGAGTGGGGTGAAGCAGTGGGGCGGGCCCGGGGAGCGGGGGCCCTGCCTTCCTTCCTCAACACACGGGGCTGCCCAGGCCCCGCTCCTGGGGCCCGGCCCGTACCCCACAGACGCCAACATCGGGTGCCTCCTGGTCAGAGAAGCTCCACATCGACTGGCTACAGATGGCACCAGGGCAGCTGGGCCTGGTCAGCACCACAGCCCAGCCAGAGGCCTGGCCAGCTCCTCGGCTGGTCTGCCCCAACCTGCCCGAGGCCACCTGGGTGGGCAGCTCAGGTATCTTGACCCTTAGATTCCTCATGACAGAGATGGACACGTGGCTTTCGGTGTGAGAACGAGCACAGGCTCCCACATCTACCACTCAGGAGAGGCCCGTGGACGCCTCAGGCCCTGATGGTCCCCTACCCTGAGGACGCACACCTGGAGTAGGGCGGCCTCTCGCAACTCCAGCCTCTCCCAGCTGGCCAAGCTCGCCCCAAACCCACTGCCTGGCTGGCCCTTTTGGACCCAGCCTGGCCACCCAGAAGGACCCAGCCCCACCCACTCCTCAGACAGGTGCCAGGCCTTGGTGACTGCCCTCTTGGCAGCTCCTCTTCTACTGCCTCCCCAGAGGTCACCAGTCATAACCTTCTATTCCACCTGGGCAGGCCACACCTGCCCTCAGCCTAGAGCCCAGTTTTAGTGGCGGGTAGAAGTGTTTCCTTGACTCGGTTTACGAGGGGATGCGCTGCCTGTCCAAAGTTCCTGGTGGCCCATTGTGACCTCCACCACAGCCCAGGCTATCACTGACTCTCGCAGTGTCCTGGGCCACCAGCTCCAAGGGCGGGCACTGCAGAAGCCATCGGGCACACACAGGATGAAGGCGGGGAGAACAGTCTGCCTTAACACGTGCTCAAAGTCAGACCAGACTCAAATCGCCCCCAGGTGACCCGCAGCTCAGGACACTGGCCAGAGCCCACAGGGTGCCTGTGGCACAGCACTCCAGGACTCTATCCAGCTACCAAATGCCCCTTCCAGGGGACTGAAAATCCCCTGAGGTCCCAAAGGCCACAGCTCCACAGCTCTTAGCCTCCCAGGCCCTAACAGGTTAAGGGCAGTGGGTAGGAGAATCGCTAGAACTCCTGGAAGGATGGTGGTGGAGCTAGTAGACTCCAGAATTTTATTTTAATTCTTTTTAGAGACAGGGTCTCACTCTGTCCACCCAGGCTGGGGTACAGTGGCATCATCATAGCTCCCTGCAGCCTCCAACTCCAGGGCTCAAGTAATCCTCCCGCCATAGCCTCCCAAGCAGCTGGAACTAGAAGTATGCACCACCATGGCTGGATAATTTAATTTTTTGTAGAGACGGGGGGCCTCAATACATTGCCCAGGCTGGACTCAGACACCTGGCCACAAGTGATCCTCCTGCCTCAGCCTCCCAAAGTGTTGGGATAACAGGTGTGAGCCACTGCACCCAGCATATAAGCAAATCTTATATGTTTATGTTTCTTCCGAACATGTTTCTGCCGATTCTCAAAATGGCAAAAGTCAGGATGCTCAATTTTTAAAGCTTGACAGCTGATAGCACTTTTCATAAAATTATCAGTAACATTTAGAAGCAAATTTGATTAAATTCGTGTCTGAATAAATCATGCTTTTGGATTTAATATAAAATGTGTTAAAGCTTATATGCAGCCCACATTAAATTACTTCAAAAGTGTTTAAAAAAGCAGGAAGTGGGGCTGTCAGCCCAGCTGGTTCTGTCCATGACGGTGGGGTCACCAGGCCACCCTCCTAGGGTGTCAGTGCTGCCCTGGGCACAGGCTCTGGGTTGGGGGCCCTCCAAGAGCCTTTCTGAGCACCGGGCTCCCCTGCCTCCAACTCCATCTGCTGCCTGCCCTGACCACCAAGGCCTCCCAGGGCCCTTCCCTGCAGCAGGGAGGGGCTGTTCCACTTACCCCTTCAGGCTTGGCCACGGCAGATATGATAGTAATGGAGACAATTTAACTTATTTTAAAGGCTCTGCACATCAAATCTAAGCCCAACGGGGATTCCTGGACCAGACTGACTGGGCCTGGCAACCTCCACCCACAGGAATGGGGGGGGGAGGGCTCAGTGGAGTGGACTCTGGAGGTGACTCCTCCACTCAGCTGTCCTTTGTTCTCAATTCCATGGACATCCCTCAGCCTAGGATGAAACGTTAAAAGCACACCTGACACACCTGGACAGAACGGTGGGAGTGAGCTTGGGAAGGGAGTCACCACACACTGGCTGCAAAAAGCACGTAGGGAAGAGAGCAGTGACTGCAGACCGGGTCCCCTCCGTCCATCCCAGGTCACCGAGCTGCACCCTGGACTCTTTCCTGTTTTCCGCATTGACATCTAACATCCCCAAGTCACGCTGGTTCCCTCATCCAAAAGGTAGGCTTGGATCTTTCCCCTTCTCTCTTCCTTGCTGCCACCAAGCTGTTCAGACAACGTCTGGGGCTGAGTGCGCCTTCCTTCCTTGCACAAATGATCACAGAGCAACGACTGCTTGCGAGGCACAGAGGGGGACGCGGGGGACACAGCGGTGAACAAAGCCCGCCAGGTGCTCGCTCTCTCAGCGCCGGTCGTTGCTCCGACCGCCTCCTCCTCCGGGGCCGGCCTCCACACCCGCAGCCCCTCCACTGTCCTTCCCAGAAAGCCCGACAGTCTCCCCGCCCGGGCTCTCCACCGGCCGCTGGGATGAAGGCTTGGCGCCGTACCCCGCACCTCCTCCACGTCCCCCACCGCTGAACTAGCCCCGGCCCGCGAGCCAGCGCACTGGCCTCCCTCCGCTTCCCCCACGACCCTCGACGACGCCTCTGCACCTGCTGTTCCCGCCACCAGGCGCGCGCTTCCCCTCGGTCTCAGCTGCAACATCGCCTCCTCGGAGACGCCTCTCCCTTTGCGCCTCACCGTCGGCTCTGCCCAAGCTCCTGTTCCCTCCGGCCGCACTGCCCGCCTACCGCGCCCACCCGCCGAGTTCCGCCAGCGCCGAGGCCGCGTCTACACAGTCACCCCGCACACCACCTGCGAGTTTTGGCCGCACGAGCCCACGCCCCGCACCGGCCCGTCTCTGAGCTGCCTCCACCCTGAAGGCCCCTGCGGCTGGCCGCGCGAGGTCGCGGTCCCTGCGCGCTCCCCCTCCCGGGGCCCCCGGCCGCCTGGACGAGCAGACGCCGGGCCAGCAACCCGGCACCTGAGGCGCACGCGCACGGAAAGGGCCGGGGCCGCGGCCGCGTTAACCCCCTCCGCCGCGGACGAGCCGACCACGCGGCGCGGTCCCGCAGCCCCTAGAACTGCCAGTTTGTCCACTCTGGTAGGCGCGCGGCCAGCCCGGGGCAGCCCCGGAGACTCGTCCAAGGGGTAGACACACTAAGCGCCCCAACGCGACTCCCCACAAACTGCCTTGGCCCTTTAACACTACCCCGCTCGCGCCCATTGGTTCAGACGTTCTGCGTCATCGCTGCGCGCCGGACGGCGGTGCCTTCCCGCTCCTTTGCTCTGACGCCAGAGCCGCGCCGGCCTCAGCGGCTAAGGAGAGCAGGAGGTGGCGGCGGGAAGATGTAAGTTGGGGCCAGAATCCGGCCGCATCCGAGCTTCAGGGTCCCCCCGCCAGGCTCGGTGGGGCGCATCGTGAATCCGGCTCGCTCCTCAGTACCGCGGTGCGGCGGCGCGGCGCGGGATCCAAAAAGAAAGCGTGGCTCGGGGCGGGCAGAGTGGGAGGCGTCCGGGCCGCGGCCCGGAAGTGGTCGGGGCCGCAGCGGACAGAAGGGCGTCCGTGTTTCGTCCGCTCCGCGGCGGCGGCGGCGGCCCCACCAGGCCCCCGGGACTCAGGGAGCGCGGTTTCCCCTCTTGGGGCTTTCCCCCTGGGCCAGAGACCCAGGCCCGCAACGCCAGGCCCTGCCCTGGAAGGGTAACGGGGAGCGGCGAGGTCGGCGTCTCGGGCCGGTGCCGGCGGGCGCAGTTTCTTTGTGGCATTCCGCGGAAGGCCGGCTGATTCTCCCTTCGGAGTCATTATTCAAACATTGACTCCCTGAACGTTCACTGGGCTCCTGTTACCTCTCTTGGCGCTAGGCCTTGGGGATACAACCTAGTGTGGACCGAGCACGGTGGCCGAGCTCATTTCGACGGAGTACCCTAGAAGGGTGGACACGGGAAGGTTAAAGTCGATGGAGGAGAAACGTGGAGTAGGCTTTTCTGTTTTTATTTTGCATGAATTATGCCTGAAATGTACTTCTAAATGGGGAAGGTCCTCTGAAGATTTGTGCTGAAACGCCATCTGCTAGAGATTTAACTAATTGTTCTCTCTCTCTCTGTTGGACGCGCACCTTTCCGGAGGATGGGGGAGGTAACCAAGGTCCTGAGCTGTTACCTGAACTTGTGTGAACACAGAACCTCAACCTTTGCTTTCTAGCACTCGACCATACCCACCAGCAAGGCGTTCACTTTGTGGTTTTTAGTTTTTAGAGTGCTTAAGAATAACTGGTGCTTGTTACACAAAGTACATTCGGACAGATCTTTAGGACGGGGGCGGGGAAGGGGTTGTGGTTGGAATCTGTGTGTGCAACCTCCACTCTAGGTCCGCACTGTCCAGTAGTAGCCTTTGGCCACGTGTAGCTATTGAGCATTTGAGATATAGCTAATCCAAACTGAGATGATAAAATGATACATGCCAGATTTAAAAGACTTTGTTTACTATGAGAAAAAGTAAACCTTTATTATTAAATTTTAATAGTAATATGTTGGAAATATATTTCAGATATAGTGTGTCAAATCTTAAAAACTAATTTCATGTACTTTTGTGATGTGGCTATTAGGAAATTTCAGGTTATGCTTGTGGCTCACAGTCTATTGGACGGTGCTGCTCTAGGTGATCCTAAGTGGGGGGGGGGCCTTGGTCCAGGAACCCCTATTGAGCATTCAGAAATTGCGTGGCTTTGGAAACAGCTTGTATATGGGGAAGGAGCCTCCAATATGGAGACCCAAGTCTAACATAAGCTAACATTTATTGAAGCTTAACTGGGTGCCATGTCTCTTTTGTGAATTAACTTAATTAATGCCCCTAATAACTATAAGGTGGGAACTAATTGTCACCATATTGCCAGTGAGAAACCTCAAAAGAATAAATGATTTGTCTAAGATTACACAGCAAAACCTCACATCAAACCCAGGCATGCTGACTCCAGACTCTTAATCTCTGAATTGTATTCACTAACCTTGTCAGGTGCTGCCTGCTAGGTTTATCTAGTATCTCACTGTTTTAAGGTAAAACATTTTGTAAAGGTTTGACATCCCTGTAAAAGAGCAGCAAAAATGGTATTCTGCCCTCTTCCACTCCCATTTGCCCAAAGCCAAGTGCTCTTCTTTCTTGGGTCAGAATGTGTATTCAGCAGCATTTTGAAGCACTCCTGGCAGGTGTACCCTGCATGTGTGAAACCAGGACTCGATTAGTGTGCTGTGTCCTCCTTATTTACAGGCTGATGGAGAAGGTGAGACAGAAGTAGTTAAAACCAGCATCCTGAGATCTTTGCTTACAACTCATGGAGATTGTACAAAGCCTCTCTGGAAATGCCGAAGGCAGCAGTCCCTGGAAAATAGGGCATATAATGAATTAGTTGTTTGTGGGTTTTTTTGGTTTTTTTCTTTTGAGACAGGGTCCAGGCTGGAGTGCAGTGGCACAATCATAGCTCACTGTAACCTCAAGCAATTCTCCCACCGCTGCCTCCTAAAGTGCTGGGATTATAGGTGTGAGTTACCACACCTGGGCAGTAGTTTGTTTTTGAGTAGTAATTTGTTGACATTATTTGGGCACATGCTACAATCCAGGCATTTTGCTAAACCTTTTCGTGTGTGACATGCAGTATCTCACCCAATATCAATGTCTGCTTTTTTTCCCCTAACATCTTATTTCTAAGCAATGAAAGAATCGTTCAGTTAATACCCACATAACCACACCTAGATTCTACAAGTCACGTTTCTGCCATATTTGCTTTATCATGCATTGCCACCCATCAATCTTTACCTTTTTTTGCATTTCAAGGTAAATTGCAGATTTGTGTGTACTTTCCCATATACATTCCATATGCATATTATTAACCAAAGTTCAGTATTTGTTATAATTCTTCAACTGCTTTTTAAATGTTCATATGGGAAATTGCATCTAATTGCGTTTGAGTGTTAAATGTTTTAATGCTAGTACAGTTGCCTTTGAAATGGAAAGCAAAACTCCAGTCATATTACCCAGTGTATCCTAAAAGGAAATTACCACAATAGGCCGGGCATGGTGGCTCACGCCTGTAATCCTAGCACTCTGGGAGGCCGAGGCGGGCAGATTGCTCGAGGTCAGGAGTTCGAAACCAGCCTGAGCAAGAGCGAGACCCCGTCTCTACTATAAAATAGAAATTAATTGGCCAACTAATATATATAGAAAAAATTAGCCGGGCATGGTGGCGCATGCCTGTAGTCCCAGCTACTCGGGAGGCTGAGGCAGGAGGATTGCTTGAGCCCAGGAGTTTGAGGTTGCTGTGAGCTAGGCTGACGCCACGCACTCACTCTAGCCTGGGCAACAAAGCGAGACTCCTTCTCAAAAAGAAAAAGGAAATTACCACAATAAAACAAGATCTAATCCTGTCTGCAGAGCCACACTTGGAGTTAGCTTTTTCTCTGTTCTGCATGCGAATGGTGCTATAGTGTTTTGACAGAACCACAGAGGGCTTGTCCTCAAACTTAGGAGTGAAAACTGGTATTGTACAATGTATATAACAACAACGATGGGTACCACTGCCACCTCCTTTTTATTTATTTTTTTTAAGATGCTGAGGTGTCAGTTCTGCCTATGCCTGTAGGGGTAGAGAACCCTCCATGAGGAGATGGTGACTGTCCCCACGGGTTCTGGCTGTGTGGACACTAGTTGCTTACTGTGTTCCCTTGCTGCCTTCTCATGTACTCAGCTTTTACTGCAAAGTAGATTTGTTGCCTTGCCAATTCGTTCACTCTTTAAATCCTTTTATCTTGTTATTAGGCTGCTCTTTGGCGTAAATTGCAATCGATTAGGGATCGTTTCTCAGAATCCAGTTAGAAGTGAGAGTTCAGATAAGTGAGGCCGCCATTGCTGCTTTGAACACCTCAGAAGGGGACAATGGATTTATCAGGAGTGAAAAAGAAGAGCTTGCTAGGAGTCAAAGAAAATAATAAAAAGTCCAGCACTAGGTAATCCTCTGTAAGATTTTTCTAGTGCTACTATGGGGGTGCTCACTGCTAGGGACCCTCAGAAAGGGGAAGATTGAAAATGTTTTGTATTCTGCAGTGAGTGTCCTAAGCCACAGACCATTTTGCTCTGTGCTCACCCGGGATCTTTGTAGCCCTGCTGGATCTTGTGGGTTGTGCTGTTGTTTTAGGGTTTGGTCACAGGAGCATGCAGTCTCACACTCTTCCTCACCATCCAGGGCTCCTTCGCCTACCAAACGCAAAGACCGCTCTGATGAGAAGTCAAAGGATCGCTCCAAAGATAAAGGGGCTGCCAAGGAGTCGAGTGAGAAGGATCGCGGCAGGGATAAAACTCGAAAAAGGCGCAGCGCTTCCAGTGGTAGCAGCAGCACCAGGTGGGGCTGGCTGGCCTGGAGCCTGGAAGGACCCTGCTGCAGCAGCCACCTCCCTCCTTTCCTCAGAGGGCTCAGTTTTCTTGATTATTTCCAAAGAAAACACACCCTCAGATTGTTAATAGAGACCCTGTTTTATGGCAGAGCAGTCTGTGGTTTGCTCTAGTTACATATAAAAGATGTGTTTGGATTTTTTCCTTTTCTATAGATATATGGGGACATGACATTTGAAGGGTATATTTTGCTCAAGTGTGTTTTATTCAGAATTGTGATTGGCTTGCCCTACTCTAGAGTTTATTTTTCAGTAGTTGATACCAGTCTGAGTCAGCCAGCAGCCACCTTCCCAGCTTAAGTTGGTGGTTCTGGCTTTTGTCAGACTCTTTTTACCTCCTAGTAGGAAAGGTATCTGTATAGGTAGAGAGCAGCCTATCCCCCTTTCCTCACACCTGCACACTGTGAAGCCAAGGACCAGAGAGGGGAGAGTGGGAAGGTGTTTTCCCCACTGGGAAAGGCAGTGGGGGTGGAAGGGACAGCTGTTTCCTCCTCTGAGGAGCACAAGACAGGCTTGAAGGAGACAGGCCTCTGCTTTACCACCCTGCCTATTGCGACATCACCACCCCCAATGTTGCCCTCAGGTCTCGCTCCAGCTCAACCTCCAGCTCAGGCTCCAGCACCAGCACTGGCTCAAGTAGTGGCTCTAGCTCCTCCTCAGCGTCAAGCCGCTCAGGAAGTTCCAGCACGTCCCGCAGCTCCAGCTCGAGCAGTTCCTCTGGCTCTCCAAGTCCTTCTCGGCGCAGACACGACAACAGGCGGCGCTCCCGCTCCAAGTAAGTGCTCCAAGCTTGTGAACTATCTAGGAACTTAACTTTACAATCTGGGAGCTGTAAATTTGCTGGGGCTATTATAAACGTAGACCAAAAAGGAGTCTTCCAGTGTTACTAAGATTTCTGAGACAGGAATAACATACAGGAAATGGTGGGAAAATCTTCCCTATAAAAACTATCATACAAGCAGATAATATCCCACTAAAAAGAAATCAGATATATTTTAACTTGACAGAAGTTGATTTTTTTCTGGTGTTTTGTTTTGATTTCTCAATCAGATCCAAACCACCTAAAAGGGATGAAAAGGAGAGGAAAAGGCGGAGCCCTTCCCCTAAACCCACCAAAGTGCACATCGGGAGGCTCACCAGGAATGTGACCAAGGTAAGGATCACAGATCCATCTGGTGGGCAGTGGGTATGGATTAGCAGGCCTTTGCCAGCAGGTGAACTTAGAATGTAGCCTTTTGATTTGAGTAGAGCCCTGATTAATTCCTTTTAATGGACTATTATGTGCCTAGGAGACACTGGTTCTCATCAGAACTGGTAGGTGGCATTAGAGTGACCATTCTTTCCCTTTTAGGATCACATCATGGAGATATTTTCCACCTATGGGAAAATTAAAATGATTGACATGCCTGTGGAAAGGATGCATCCCCATCTATCCAAAGGTTATGCATATGTGGAGTTTGAGAATCCAGATGAAGCTGAGAAGGCACTGAAGCACATGGACGGAGGTGAGTGACCTGCTGGCACCTCTGTCCCCTCAGAGACCCCTGCTCACAGGGACCTTTCCATCCTGGCTGCGCCTCAGAGTCTCTTTAGAGCTCTCTCAGGATTCCAATTCTTACTCAGTGGGTGTGTGTTTACCTAAAACATGTCTTAGGAACATGATTCTTAGGGGGGGACATCAGCAAATATGAATATATTAGCATTTTTTTTTTTTTAATTTTCAATCTGTTAAAAGCATAAGGATCAAATGAAGGTTTCTTATAAAGAACATATTTGACTTTTTTAGTTGGGAATACTTCATTTAATCCTTTCTGAGAGTCATTTTCTATTTTCCCAACATTTTAGTATTTTGCTAAATGACAGATTTGCTCAATTTACAAAATTTACTTCCTAAACACTTACCTCTCTTAACTGTTTATAACATTTTTAGCTGTTGTATTGGGCAGAACGGTTTTGAAAGCAAGTGAACAGTTGTAAATAGTTTGGATGACCAATTTTCATTTCGTCCTCAAGTCAACATTTTAAGGAATGTGGAATTTGTCCCTGTCCAGCTCCCTACTGCAGTGATCTAGGTAGGCAGCAAGGGCTGAGCTCGCAGTCTGCAGTCAGTCCCCTCTGGCCTGGGAGCCAGGCCCAGGTGGGCAGGAGAGTGTGAATGCCCTAGAACCTCGGGGTCCTCTGAGGCCCTGTTATCTACCTTATGAATAGTTTAACAGCTTCTTTGATGATTACCTTTAAGCTCCAGTAGAGTTTGGGTATTAGAGAATTTTCCTTGGTGCTTAGCTAACTTCTCTTTCAGTTAAATCTCTGAAGTGTGTTAGGAGCTCCGCTGTGTCACTCACTCACATCCACTCTTGGCCTTGTGAATCACATCTTTGCTTTAGAGTCTGCCAATCTGGTATTTGACAAAGTCTGAGCACTTGCTAATAAGCTTAAAAACTCAAGAGACTTGCATATCCAGTGTGGGCATGATTATAAAAATTGGTTTTTCTTAAGATTCTAGTAGGACTTGTTCTTTGTGTCTCCCATACTGTACTGAGCCAGTCCACACTGTCTCCAGGAGAAGATTGGAAAGGGTTGGCCTTTAGTGGCAGCTAGCCATATAATGGATTTGTCTTCATTATTGTATAATCAGTGCCATAAAATTCCTAGTTTGAGTTGGTTTTGGCAGTGGGCCAGGGGCCACCTTTGGTTGGGTTGAGTTACTTAAGTTAAGCCCCTTAAGTATATTCAGAACACATGTCCATGTACCTGAGTTAGCCTCTAGGTACCTTTGAAGTTGCTTCGAAGATGGAAGTTAAGCAAACAAAGCACTTGTGCCTTTGGGGGGCACAAAAGGAGCTAAGGTTGGACTCCAGGCACCCCCAGCTATGGAGACGGTCTCTTGAGGTCAGGGGAACATGCTCCCCTGAGGTTCCTGAGTCTGCACTTGAGTTTCCATTGCTCTTTCTCTCCCTTGGACCTCCATCCTGCACTGCCTCGGCTCGCTCTTGCTGTGATGTTGGCACACACGCAGATGTTTAAATATTGTACACGCAGAGTCTCCTCTCTAGGCCTCTTGTTCAGACTCCTAATACAAAGCACCCAACATCTCTTGAAACGTCTTTCATGCTGTTGCCCACAGAGCCCCACCTCTCAGTAGGTGGAAGCTCATCCAGATAATCACTTGCCACACCCTCCTGTCCTTTTTTTTTTTTTTTTTTTTTTTGAGACAGAGTCTCGCTTTGTTGCCCAGGCTAGAGTGAGTGCCGTGGCGTCAGCCTGGCTCACAGCAACCTCAATCTCCGGGGCTCAGCGATCCTACTGCCTCAGCCTCCTGAGTAGCTGGGACTACAGGCATGCGCCACCATGCCCGGCTAATTTTTTTTGTATATATATTTTTAGTTGGTCAATTAATTTATTTCTATTTTTGGTAGAGATGGGGTCTCACTCAGGCTGGTTTCGAACTCCTGACCTTGAGCAATCCGCCCGCCTCGGCCTCCCAAAGTGCTAGGATTACAGGCGTGAGCCACCACGCCCGGACCCCCTGTCCATTATTTAATTTTGTTTTTAGAGACAGGGTCTTATCACCCAGGCTGGAGTACCGTGGCTCCATAATAGCTCACTGCAGCCTTAAACTCCTAGGCTCAAGTGATCCTCCTGCCTCAGCCTCCTGAGTAACTGGACAGGTGTGGCCACCATGCCTGGATAATTTTTTAAATATTTTTTAGAGACAGGGTCTCACTAAATTGCTCAGGCTGGGCTCAAACAATCCTCACACCTCACCCTCTTGAGTGGCTGGGACTACAGGCACCACCATGCCCAGCGTCTCTCCATTTCATTTGATGTCACAGAATCCTCCTAACAGGTCTCCCCTCCTCTTGGTCCCAGTTTCCCATCTTTTTTTTGTCTTTGAGACTGTCTCACTCTGTTGCCTGGGCTAGAGTGCCGTGGCGTCAGCCTAGTTCACAGCAACCTCAAACTCCTAGGCTCAAGCAATCCTTTTGCCTCAGGCTCCTAAATAGCTGGGGCTACAGGCATGTGCCACCATGCCTGGCTAATTTTTTCTATATATTTTTAGTTGTCCATATAATTTCTTTCTATTTTTAGCAGAGACACTTTTGCTCAGGCTGGTCTTGAACTGAGCTTGAGCAATCCGCCCGCCTTGGCCTCCCAGAGTGCCAGGATTACAGGCGTGAGCCACCGTGCCCAGCCCCCATCCTCCTTGAGAAGGAAACTCCAGTGCTGATACCATCTTCATGGCCCTGCCCAGAGGAACCACCTTCTGCCCCTGAGGCCCCATGTTTACCTGTAATTTTCCTAGTTGCTTCCTTCCCTCACTAGTGCTTTAGGTCCTTCCCAGCTCAGGGACAGACACAACCCTTCCCTTCCCCCTAGTGGATTCCAGCACTTTCTTTAGGTCTTGGCTTGGTTGGCACTTCCTCAGGATGGCTGTCCCAAAACACCACTGTTTGAAACCCCTGTTAGGTTCCATGCTCTCTTACGGTTTTCCTGATGAGACTTCAGTCATGATGTTCTGTGATCATTTAGGTTTGTCATTGTATTCCCCAGGCCTGCCTTGTTCACCATGGCATATTTTGTCTAGTGTAGGTATTTGGTAGATATTTTATGTCTTGGTCCTTTTTTCAACAGGACAAATCGATGGCCAGGAGATCACTGCAACTGCTGTGCTGGCTCCCTGGCCTAGGCCACCCCCCAGGCGATTCAGCCCTCCCAGGAGAATGCTGCCACCACCTCCCATGTGGCGCCGGTCTCCCCCACGGATGAGGAGAAGGTAAATCAATTTGGAACCTCACAGTGGCCTGATGAGGCCACAAACCTCAGTGATTGGAATGACTTTGGGACCCTTTATTCATCCCTGCTGCCCTCCACTGCTGTGTGGGTGTGAGGTGACCCTTCATAGTTGGTAGTTGGTGTGGAAAGCTTACTAGGAGAGCCATCGCTGCAGTGAGTGACAGGCAGAAGAGGCCCAGAGTTGTGCCAGTGCTCCTTTCTGAGTCTGAGCAGTGACATTGCGTGGCCTTCTCAGGAGACTTGTGGATCCTGAGACTAAGTGCGGGCCTGCTCCCCTTCCTAGCTAAGAAAACAGGAAGGGTCAAAGGAGTGGTGGGGGTGGGGGTAATCCCTTTGGCAGAGGCCTCAGTCTGGCCTTATCTGGCCAGGGGTGTTGAGCTGCACTTCATTCAGCCCTGAGAAAGGAGAGCCTGGGCCTGTGTCCTTGTTCTCAAGAACACCCCATTCCCTTCCCAGAGCTCCAGGTCATTCCCATCCCATGAGAGCTGTCTCAACTTCTAGTGTTGAAAAGTAAAACCATGGAAAACTGTTCCAGAAAGAAGCTAGCTTGCCCCTGTGGCCCATGCCGAGTCTGACTGACATGGTTTCTCCTCTTCCCACAGGTCCCGCTCCCCGAGGCGCAGGTCCCCTCTGCGCCGGCGATCCCGCTCCCCTGGCCGCCGCCGCCACAGGAGCCGCTCCAGCTCCAACTCCTCCCGATAAGCAGGGCCATTGAAGCTCGTGCTCCCTGTAACTTATACCCCATCCCATCCCATCCCATCCCATCCGGATCAGTTTTGTCACTTTTCTAGCCAAAGGATCGGTAGGAAAGGAAATTCCTCACTCAGGCAGGCTTGGAAGCCAGCTATTGACAGCTCTGCAGTCCAGGTTCTAGCTGCAGACGTACTGCTGGTTTGGGGTTGTGCCTGTAAAGATGCCCTCAGTTTTCTGGCTAGAAGCTCACCTTGTTCCAGTACCTGAGAGTCAGTTCAGTGGCAAAGCCACTAGGGACCCAAAGGAAGGGTCCAGGTGACAATGTGGGCCAGCCTGGAGAACACACTTTTATTTTCCACATGTGGCCTGGTCACACCCTTGCCGGTACAGCGCAGCGTCCTTGGGGAAAGGGAGCTGCTCTTTTGCCAGAGCTGTGGCCTGGCCTTTTGCTTTCCTGCTTGAGTAGTTTTCTGACCTTGTGGGCCTAACACCCAAGAAGAAAGAGCCTCTCGCCCCAGTGCCGGTGCATAAATGGTTGTCTGTTCCTGTACTCGTGCACGGGCCACACCTGGAACCCCTATCCTCTGAAATTGGTGAGCAAGTTGAGAGCCGGTGCTGCAGGGCTGGCCCAGAGCTCCACTGGGCCTGTCTTTTGTGGTGGTTTTGCAGGTTACCTTGGCAACATGTACATTGCTTCTTTTTTCTTGTATTGTACAGTCAGTACTATAAAATTTGTTTTGAGTTTTGTAACTTTGTAGCATTTTAGATAACATTGTGTTTGTACTGTGTAGAGTGAAGGAATTGTGTTAAATAAACCTAGGATTAGAGTGCAGAGTGCTGGTTTCACTGCCTCCTTCCTGTCCCTTAGTCCCCAGCACATTTTGTTATTTGTGACTTCTAGTGCCTCACTAAGAACTGAGTTTTGGTCTCATTTCCAGAGTGACCCCTCCAGAAGCTTTCAGGCAGGAGAGCGTAAGGCCAGTGTCCTACAGGCTTGAAGTGGTGGACAGACAGAGGGCTGGCATCTCAAAACCTTCATCTTTTCAGAAGCTTCGAATTCTGCCAGACCAGAAATATTAATCTTATTTGCTGCTACCATATTAAGTAGTTATAGGAAAATATATTTTTCTACCTCAAAAATTGGTTTGGGCCACAAGGAAAAATTGGAAATGCTCAGGTGATAACAAAAGCTGACATCACCCAACACTGCTGGGCCCTTTCTGTGCCCAGTGCTCTGAATAGTCAGGAAAGGCCCCACACCAGGTTGTACAGAGGCCTCTTCCCCCCCACCTCAGTGCGCTGCCCACACAGGTGGCCAGTTATTCATGTCCTTTCCATGTTGGTGCAAATAAAAAGTTTAGGAGATGCAACTGCTGTCCCACAGCAGGGAGGGTGCCTGCTGGCTCAGCCTTGCCTTCAAGGGTGCTGTCTGGCATCCTTGTCTGTACACTTGGGGTTCTCATGTGCAAGGTGGCCAGGCTGTTCTTAACCACCTCCAGTGCTGCCTCTGCGGCTAAACTGCCAAATCTGACTCCTGTTCCCCAAAGGGGCAGGACTCACCCTAGGCAGCCCCTGGCCTCCCCAGAGTGCCCTTGTGTGGTTTAGCACCCTGATCCGATGGCCTTACCTGCTCAGACGCTGTGATAGCTGCCTCTGGCAAGGAGCTGCCCGGTCCCTTATTGCCACGTGAGCTCACAACTGGCACCCACAGCCTCCTGCCATAGTGGTTTTGGTCTTTGGTCAGTGGACACCACCGGAAGCAGGAAGAGGGGACGTGTCTTCTCAGCCTGACCTTGGGGCTCAGCAGTGGGTGGGGCAGCGCCTGACCGGCCTGCTGCCAGCCGCGGGGAAGGCCCGCCCCGGCCGCCACGTTGGGTCACGGTTGCGTTTGCAAAGGGCCTACGCCCTGGGGCTGGGTTGAGCCAGGGCATCGCCTGGGAGGCCGACTCGCCTTCCCGCTCGGCGGCCCTCCTGAGCCTATGACCGCGGACCGGCGAGCGAGCGGCGGGGCAGGCGGGCGCCTCCGGGCCGCCCGCCCCGCCGGCGGCACAGCGGGCGACCGGCCGCCCCGCGAGTCAAGATGGCGCGCGGCGGGATGCGCGTCCGTGCGCGCGCGCTGCTCCGGCGGGGCGGTCGCGGCGGCGGCGGGCGCGCGGGTCCGGCGGGGGCGGGGCGGCCGGGCCGGGGCGGGCGAGCTAACCGCCTCCCGCGCTGCGTCTGCAGGGGCCGGCGGGGCGCGGCCCTCGGGCGGCCGGAGCCGGCGGCCGGCGGCGGGGACGGCGCGCGGCGCTTCACGAACCTGCGGGTGCTGGTGGAGCCGGACCCGGCCGCAGGTAAGCGGGCGCCGCCGCCTCCGGGCGGGCGAGGGCTGGCCAGGAGCCCCGCAGTCGGTCGGGTCCAGGCTGAAGTGTTAGAAAGTGGTTGAGTTTCTAAAGGCAAGGAGGTGAAGCCCGGTTTTTAGAATTCGGTTTCTCTTTAGAACTTAAGGGTCATCACACCAGGTGACTTAAATGGGCTTTGTTCATTATGAAGATGTAGATGATTCTGTTTTTAAAGTTTGGAGGATATGATCTGTTATGTAAGCTATTCATTGGACCTTGAAAATAATTGAAAGTATTTTGGAATGAAATATTTTAATTGACCTTAACACTCCCAGTGTCACTCTTATCTGTCCCTACCTGAAACTCTGAAGAGGGGATTAGAAGCACTTTTTGAGGGGCCAACTATGAGCCCAACAAAAACTTGAGTTTTTGAAGGATCATTTCTGTGACAGATTCGAATATATCTCAAAAAATGTAAAAACCCATATCTTAAAATATTGGAATGGATAGTGGGACTGCACAACACTGAATGTGTGTAATGCCACTGGACCTCACACTGCAGAATGGCTAGAATGGTAAATGTTATGTATGTTTTAGCACCATTTAAATATGTGTGTATGTGTCCAGTAAAAAGAAAAAGTATTGGCGAAATAATTTTTTTACCCAAGTGCTTCACACTCTTCCATGTAAGAACTTGCTAACTTCTGTGGCTTCGTGTGATAGAAAGTAGTCTGGGGTCAGAAAGCCAGGCCTGACTCTGTCCCCATTGCCAGAGAAAAGGCAAATATTGTGAAATGAAAACACTCATCGCTCAGGACAACCTGAGGCTTGGATGAAGAAACAGCTCAAACTTGCCTTTTTATTGTTTCCGTTGGTACCCCGGTGAAGCTGACCCGAGGTTCACTGTTTACGTTTCAATCAGGATGCATTTGTCTAGCACCGCCCTGTGCCAGGAAAGCGGTCGTTGCCCCATGATGTCTGAGCTCTTCCAGATTCTCCCCAGTGAGCTCACGCTCACCTTTGGCCCCTTTCCCTCCCCGGCCCTCTGCCGCCCTGTGTCCTCCATGTGCCCGCTTCAGAGGCAACTTTAGAAACTTCCCTCTGAGCCAGGTTTAGGGAACTTGTTCTGGAAGTTCTGGCAGCTCATTTCTCATATGTATGCCTTACACACGCCTGCAGCTAGGGAAAAATTGCCTCTTCTTGTAAACTAACGGGCCCAAGGAGCCCACTTGCCGTCAAGACTTAGGTCTCGTTCCCAGAGAATGGCTGTTTTCTCTGCTGCTGGCAGAGTGAAAGGACAGACCACGGAAAGTTTAAGAACATCTGACCCCCAATATTTTCAGCCTTTATCCTCAAACAAGTGTGAGCCAGAGGCTCCCCACTGGGGTTTCTCTGTGTATATCTGGTGCTTAGGTTTTTCTAGCTCCTCGAGAAACTGAGGCCATTTCCTGCTCCCATGAGGACACAGGACTTGCCACTGCAGAAAAAGAACACAGGGGCACTGAACGAACTGATGAAGTAGGATATGAAACAGGCGTACGGCCAAGCTGGCAGGGACACGTGAAGGCAGAAGAGAGGTGACTGGCTCTACCAGCTGCTCCCTCACAACAGAGAATCAAGGCCATCGTGATGGCTCAGCCTGTAATCCCAGCACTCTGGGAGGCCAAGGCAGGAAGATTGCTCAAGGTCAAGAGTTCAAGAGAATCAATAGCCCAGATCCCAGATTGGCAGAAGCCACCTTTGTTGACTCTTCTCAGGTGTCCTCCGGGCTTGGAGTGGAGGATTAAGAGGCAGTCGGTCTTTGTCCAGAGTGGACGTGGCAGAACTGGACGGTGTGAAGTCGGGTTACAGGATAGATTTTAATTTTGAGAGAAACTTTTACTTCAACTAAGATAAGGGTCTTTGCCAGAGAACCATGCATGAATGAGAGTAGGGCTGCCCCTGAAGTCTGGCGGACATCTGCCTGGGGCTGGACCCAACTGTCGGCAGGTGGCCGGGCCTGCAGAGCCAGTGCGTCCATGGGCAGGGCAGGTGCACGAGGCGGGCAGTGCCCTCAAAGATGAGACTCGACTGAACTGCGGGGATCTTGGCCCCTGCTTGATGGTGAAGAGGGGGCAGAAGATGGCGATTTCATTAGTGTCCTAGGGCTGCCGTCACAAAGTAGCACAGACCAAGGGGCTCAGACTACAGAAGTGTGTTCTCCCAGTTCTGGAGTCCGGAAGTCGCACGGACGGTGCTCCCTCCCCAGGCTCTTCCAACTTCTGCTGGCGATCAAGGCGATCCCTCCTTGCCTCTTCCAACTTCTGCTGGCTGCCCGAGATCCTTGGTGCTTCTTGCCACGTAAGCGCACTCCTGCAGCCCCTGCCCCCGTCTCTACACGGCTTCTCCTTGCACCTCTTTTCTGCTCATAAGGACACCAGTCATATTGGATTAAGGGCCCCCCAGTGTGACCTCATTTGAACTTACATCTTAATGACATCTGCAAAGACCCTAATTCCAAATAAGGTCACATGCCCGAGTACCAAGGGATAGGACTTTAACATCTTTTGGGGGGTACACAGTTCAACCTGCCAGGGCAGTGAGGCTGAACACCCAGGGGCTCTGAGGGCTTCCTCCTTAATTTTCCGCAGTCCCGGGGACAGGTTGCAAACCTCTGGGGTTTTTGTTGTTGTTCCTTTGTCCTTGGGGGCATTGCTTGCCTCTCCACTTGATAACATGGTTCTGGACATATTTGGGGGAGAAATACCTTGAACAGAGCGTACTAGGAAAATAATCTATCCCTTTCTATTCTAAGTTTATTTGTAACTCTCCCTGTCCGAACAAAAATTAATGAACTCTGCACACCACGGTGCTGTGTGAGCAGAAGAAAGAAAACCTGCTGGTCTCTTTGTTCTGCTGGAGGCTGCCAAGCCCTGCATGGGAGATCAGAGTTCCAACATTTTCCTTCTCTCGGCACACTGGGTTCAGAGACCGCACATCTGTGTGAATATGAGCAGTCCATGTGTACCAGCAGGAATCTGTCTCCTTAGAAAAAAGAAAAATTAAAAATGATGTTATAGAACACGGGCTTAGCAAATCCAGCCCAGCACCGATTTTTATAAATAAAGTTTTATTGGCATACAGCTGAACCCACTTGTTCTGTCTGTGGCTGCTTTCATGCTGACTTGTGCAGTGGCCCTGTGGCCTGCAAGGCTGAAGACGTTCACTCCCTCACCCTTTACAGAAAGGCCCACCACTGGGCTGGAAGGTCAGCAAGTGGGGTGGGGAGTCCTGGGGAGGGTTTTGGCAATGTGGCTTCACCTTCAGCCTGTTTAATTGGGCTGTTTGATTAGACACCTTTGTGATTTAAGATGACACATTTTTAATTTATTTGAGCTGGGGTCTTGCGATGTAGCCCAGACTGATCTTGAACTCCTAACCTCAAGCAGTCCTCCTGCCTCGGCCTCCCAAAGTGCTGGGATTACAGGTGTGAGCCACCACACCCAGCCCTGAATTGTTCCCTTTAAAATGGTTGATTTATGTTATGTGAATCTCACCTCCATTTTAAAAATCCCCAAACCGTGCAGCTACCCATGGCCTGGTTGAGGGTGCAGGCTGGTCAGGGCGGTTTCCCAGCACTGGATGTGAGCTTCGTCTTCCTCATTCTGTGCCGTAGGGGTCGCTGTGATGAAACTGAAGAACCCGCCAGTGAACAGCCTCAGCCTGGAGCTCCTGACGGAGTTGGTCATCAGCCTGGAGAAGCTGGAGAATGACAAGGCCTTCCGCGGCGTGGTCCTCACTTCGGTGGGTGCCCACGCGGCCCCCACAGCCCCCGTTCTCATCAAAGTGCAGACCTGTTGCCACACTGGAAAAAGGTTGGCGCCAGCCATCACGTGGTGTAGAGTAACCAGACAGTCCCCGACACCCTGAATGCCAAACGCCACCACGAGAGGCTTCCAGGAAGTGTGGTCTGGGCGTGGCCCGGTAGGGACCCCAGTTGTGCCGGGGGCCTCCAGCAGATCATTCTCCTGAAGGCAGACCATGTCTGAGACGGTCTCCCGGGCCTGTGCAGCTGTCAGAGTGGACCCTGCGCACAGCTGTGGTGCTCAGCAGCCTGGGCCAGGGTCAGTGAGGGAGAACGGGGTGTCTGCAGGGGCAACTTCACGAACTTCATGCCACTTCACGAACTTGACCGTGGGTTCCTGGGCACCGCCCTCAGAGCCCCTTGGTGCATCGAGCCAGTCCCATAAACAACGTTTCTTGCAAAAGCCATGCTCTTAGGTTATCTTTCGGCTGGTCTTAAGGTCAAATTCTGTTTCAGTTTCCTTTTTTAAAAATTTTTTTTGAGACAGTCTCACTCTGTTAACCTGGGCAGGGTGCAGTGGCGTCGTCATAGCTCACTGCAGCCTACAACTCCTGGGCTTTAGCGATCCTCCTGCCTCAGCCCTCCAAGTAGCTGGGACTACAGGAGTGCACCATGACACCTGGCTAATTTTCTATTTCTAATTAGTAGAAGTGGGGTCTCACTCTTGCTCAGGCTGGTCTTGAACTCCTGAGCTCAAGCCATCCATCCGCCTCGGCCTCCCAGAGTGCTAGGATTACAGGCGTGAGCCACTGCAGCCAGCCATGCAGTTTGCAGACTTGCAGTTTGCAAAGAAGTTTACAGAGGGCAAACGTTTCCACATGGATTTCTTTTTTTTTTTTTTTTTTTTTTTGAGACAGAGTCTCACTCTCTTGCCGGGGCTAGAGTGAGTGCCATAGTGTCACCCTCGCTCACAGCAACCTCAGACTCCTGGGCTCAAGCAATCCTCCTGCCTTAGCCTCCCAAGTAGCTGGGACTAAGGCATGCGCCACCATGCCCGGCTAATTTTTTCTATATATTTTTAGTTGGTTAATTAATTTAGTTTTTTTATTTTTAGTAGAGACGGGGTCTTGCTCTTGCTCAGGGTGGTTTCGAACTCCTGACCTTGAGCAATCCGCCCGCCTCGGCCTCCCAGAGTGCTAGGATTACAGGCTTGAGCCACTTTGCCCTGCCCCCACATGGATTTTTGAGGGCACCTCAGCCCTGCCTCCAAGTGCTGGCAAATGCTGGGAGCAACATCCCTGAACAGTGTCATTGCTAAGGTCAGGGAGGGGCAATAAGCAGCATCTTTAAGTCCCGGAAGGGTGGGACTGGGTAGGACCCAAGGGGAGAGTGTGCAGAGGCCAAGGAGAAGGGGAGTGAGGCAGCGCTAGGAGGCGGGCATGAGCCACAGCAACCCACCAGCCTGGCCTGCTGTCAGTCTTTGTTCCCGTCAACAGCGTGGGGTAAACATCTGGAGGGGCCAGGTTGGGCTGTGTTAACAGATCAGCCCACAGCCTTGGGAGCTCCAGCTGTGGAAAGAAAGCTTGCAGACGTTCTGGAGGGGCCTTTGTCATTTGCCCAGAGGTGCAGACTCGGCAGGAGCCGGGGGTGGGTTTTTACACACTGTGCCCCAGTTTGTGTTCCCGGCTGGCGGTCCTTGGGCTGAAGGTCCAGAATCTTTACTGAGCCCTGCTGAATGCCACTGTGCCAATTAACCTTTACCCCAGCCAGTGGCCTCCTCTTCTTTCTGAGTTCACACCTCCTCCTTCCTTGGTAGCTGTGTGGGGACCTGGGTCATCCACCTAGACCACTCTCCTGCCCAGCACTCCCAACCTGCATGGTGGTCTGTGGCTTGCTTACCCTCTGGGGGTGGATCAGAACACGTACCCCCTCCAGACTCTGTCAGGAAGCTTCGCTGTGTCCCTGAAGTCCTCTGCCAGACAGCTGGGTGTCAGAGCCAGGGATGCAGAAGGCCACACGTGTGCAGGGGTGCAGAGAGCTGGCACCGTGCCTGCCCTGCCTGTTCTCTCTTCCGGGTTGACTCTGGATAGGGAAGAGTGTGCTGGGAAGTGGAGGGGAACGGGGTCTGGGGAAGGTCTGGGCTGAGTTCCTGGAGCCCCCGGTTCTGGGCTCCGTGGGGGCATCATCCCCACTCCATGAGCGTGACCCAGCCCTGGTGGTGTGATGCTGGTGGCGGGGGCTCTGATGGGCTCCTGGCCCTGGCTACTTCCCAGGACCGCCCCGGTGTCTTCTCGGCTGGCCTGGACCTGACGGAGATGTGCGGGCGGAACCCGGCCCACTACGCTGAGTACTGGAAGGCAGTGCAGGAGCTGTGGCTGCGGCTCTTCCTCTCCAACATGGTGCTGGTGGCTGCCATCAATGTGAGTGCCCCCACTCCCACGTGGCCCCACTGGCTCGGGTGGTACCAGTCCAGGGGGCAGGAGAGACCGTGGTCCAGCCCTCAGAAGCTCTTAGGGGGAAGGGGGCAGTTGTGGAGACCTGAGACATGCACGGGTAAGTGCCACAGCAGACCACGTGACGTGTGGAGAGGGCGGGCAGGCCGGGTGGGTGGGTGCGGAGATGGCCTGGGCGGACACAGAGGGGAGAGGTCCGGTGGGCGGGCCCGGGCCTGTGGTCCACATGGACCTGGTGAGGCTGTGCCAGGGCAAGTGGGTGGTCGGATCCCCTTGGGAAACATCACTCAGACCTGGCTTCAGGGAGGCTGGACCCTGGGAGCCAGTGTGCTCAAGGGGGTGGCAGTGACAGCCCAGGCGAGGTTCACAGAGGGCCGAGCTGGGCAGAGGGGAGGCCTGGTGTGAGAGGCGGCAGCAGCAGACCAGAGGTGGGGATCTGTTTGGGGCAGGGGGTGCATGGGGTGAGAACACAGGATGGATCTGGAGTTCCCAGGACATCCTGGTGGGATTGGCTGCTGTGGTGGTACAGGGCCCCATGGGGCCATGATGTGAAATGACAGCTCTAGCTAAATGCTGGGTAGCACTTTAGCACTGGACAGAAGCTGTAGGAGGAAAGGCGGCTTGTACCCTAACCACACAGTGCAGAAAAGAGTGATTTTTCTGACCCCTGAGAGCTGACGACCCTGTCATCAAGGGCCCTTGGCTGATGAGCAAACCTGAGGTGCATGCTGAGCCCTGAGGGGCCAGTTCCTTCCCTGTCCTTTTCCCCATCTCCCACACCCAGCCCAGACAGCGTTGGTGCAGAGCCCCAGGGGGCCCTTCCTCCGGTGTCCTCACACCCTGCCCTCTGGATACGACTGGGACCGGCAGCACCTCCAGCATCCCCATGGTCTGGCCTCTCCCTGCAGGGGGCCTGCCCCGCTGGAGGCTGCCTGATGGCCCTCACCTGCGACTTCCGTGTCCTGGCCAGCAACCCCAAGTTTGCTATAGGACTGAACGAGACCCTGCTGGGCATCGTCGCCCCCTTCTGGTAAGGCCGGGGGCTGCACCCATAGGCAGCGGTTGGCTCTGGGGGAACAGGCCTACCTGCCTGGGAGCTCCAGAGCCACCAGGTGAGTGGGTGTCTGCATCCCAGGTTCAAAGACACCCTCGTGAACACCATTGGGCACCGAGCCTCAGAGCATGCCCTGCAGCTGGGGCTGCTCTTCCCGCCGGCCGAGGCCCTCCAGGTGGGCATAGTGGACCAGGTGGTGCCTGAGGACCAGGTGCAGAGCACGGCGCTTTCAGTGATGGCCCGCTGGATGGCCATTCCAGGTGAGGAGCACAGGGGCGGGCCGCAGCCTGTGATCCTGGTGAGACCAGAGTGTTCCCACACCCAGAGGTGCCCCGCATGCGCGCAGGCTGTGGGCGTCCGGGGCTGCACACCAAAGCACCACACACTGGGCAGCTAAGACCACAGAAACTTGTTCTCAGTTCTGTAGACCAGGGATCCAAAATCAAGGTGTGGGCAGGCCCACATCCCTCCAAAGGCTCCAGGAGAGGATCCATCCTGCCTCTCCCAGCTTCTGGTGGCTCAGGCATTCCTTGGCTTGTGGACGCATCACTCCGATGTGTGCCACCGCCCTTTTGTGGCATTCTCCCTGTGTGTGTCTGCGTCTCAGACCTCCCTCTCCCTTTCCTTATAAGGATACCTGCCATTGGGCTTAGGGCCTACCCAAATCCAATGAGGATCTCACAATTATATCTACAGAGACTTTTTCCAAATAAGGTCACACTTAACAGGTTCTAGAGTGGTAGTTAGGACTTGGACCTGTCCCTTTGGGGTTCACTTTTCAACCTACTACAAAGACAACTGAAAACCTGCTTGTCTGTGTTGCAGTAGGACTGCTCATATCAATCATGATATAGACCAGGACCAGCAAACCCCAACTAAAAAGGGCCAGATAGCTTGTCAGCTCTGTAGGTAAGATCTTTGTTGCCAGGGAGCCACTGCAGCGTGGAGGCAACCATACAGAACATGGAACCGGCCGGGCGCGGTGGCTCACGCCTGTAATCCTAGCACTCTGGGAGGCCAAGGCGGGCAGATCGCTCGAGGTCAGGAGTTCGAAACCAGCCTGAGCAAGAGCAAAACCCCGTCTCTACTACTACTATAAATAGAAAGAAATTAATTGGCCAACTAATATATATAGAAAAAATTAGCCGGGCATGATGACACATGCCTGTAGTCCCAGCTACTCGGGACTGAGGCAGGAGGATTGCTTGAGCCCAGGAGATTGAGGTTGCTGTGAGCGAGGCTGACGCCACGGCACTCACTCTAGCCTGGGCAACAAAGCAAGACTGTCTCAAAAATAAATAAATTAATTAAATAAATAAATATAAAATAAAATAAAAAAGAACACGGAACCAATGGGCTTCCATACAGTGTTCCAGTAAGACTTTGTAGACCAGCAGGGCGGGCTCACGGCTGTAATCCTAGCACTCTGGGAGGCCGAGACTGGTGGATCGTTCGAGCTCGTGAGTTTAAGAACAGGCTGAGCAAGAGCCAGACCCCATCTCTACTAAAAAAAATAGAAATTAGCTGGACAACTAAAAAAAAAAAAAATATATATATATATATATATAAATTAGCCGGGCATGGTGGTGCATGCCTATAGTCCCAGCTACTCGGGAAGCCGAAGCAGGAGGATTACTTGAGCCCAGGAGTTTGAGGTTGTTGTGAGCTGGGCTGACACCATGGCACTCCAGCCTGTCTCAAAAAAATAAAATAAAATAAAAAATGACATATTAAAAAAGCAATTTTGGACTGGCACGGTGGCTGACACCTATAATACTAGCACTCTGGGAAGCTGAGGTGGGAAGATTACTTGAGGCCAGGAGTTAGAGACTAGTCTGAGCAAGAGCAAGACCCCATCTCTACAAAAAAAAGTAGAAAAATTAGCTGGGCATGGTGTATCATGCCTATAGTTCCAGTTATTTGGGAGGCTGAGGCAGAAGGATTGCTTGAGCCCAGGAGTTTGAGGTTGCTGTGAGCGAGGCTGACACCACTATACTCTAGCCCAGGTGACAGAATGAGACCCTGTCTCAAGACAAAACAGAAAAATAAAAATTTTATAGTATCAGCTAATATGATTTTAAAAGAAGTTGGTGGGCAGAAACACTGTTTCCTACCAGAGTTTGAACTTGCATAGAAAGCTTGGGAATGATCCTACTATCTCTAAAAGTGGGTTTTCACCAGTGGACTCGTTTTCTTTAGACCATGCTCGACAGCTGACCAAGGCCATGATGCGAAAGGCCACAGCAGACCGCCTGATCAAACAGCGTGACGCAGACATCCAGAATTTTGTCAGCTTTATCTCCAGAGACTCCATTCAGAAGTCCCTGCAGACATACTTAGAAAAGCTCAAACAAAAGAAAGGCTAGTGGCTGGGCTGCCACAGGGCTTTTAGCCACATGTGCCCCTCTAGGGGCCTGTGGTCCCAACAGGGTCTTAAACAAGGTATTTTTCAACTTAAAAGTACTTTTAGCTGTTTATTCTGATAATCTTCTTAGAAGGTCCTGCTCCTTGTAGCCCAGCGTCCCAGGGCCCCACCACTGCCCACAAGAGTGCCCTCTCTGCCTGGCTAGCAGCAGGGGCTCAGCAGTGTCCTGACTTGGGAATCATGAACTGGCAGGTGGGGGGGTCCTGGACCTCAGCAAGGTCGCCACTGAGTGTCCCTTTTCCCAAAGCAGAACTGTAAATAAAAATAAATTCTTTGGGTTGTCCCAGCCCTGGGCTACCTGCTTGCTGGAGGCATAGGGCCAGCTAGTCTTGGCCTGACCCACACAGGACTCCTGGAGAAAAGCCCTTTGACCCTGTGCTCGTTCATTTTGAGGAGAGAGTGGACAGCAGTTCAGAGAAACTGGGGGAATTGAGAGGGATGCTGGATGCATGACTTGTTAAGAGGCATGCTATGCTACTGGAATCCTAAGTTTTATTTTAGCACACTTGTCCAAACCCTTGAAGCAAAGGTGTTTCCTCTCTTATGACTCAGGCCAGTTCCCAAATTCTGCCACAGATGAGATGTTTCAAAAACCAGAAACCCGGCCAGGTGTGGTGGCTCACATCTATAATCCTAGCACTCTGGAAGGTCGAGGCGGGTGGATTGTTTGAGCTCAGGAGTTCAAGACCAGCCTGAGCAAGAATAAGACCCTGTCTCTACTAAAAGGAGAAACAAATTAGCTAGACAACTAAAAATATATAGAAAAACTTAGCCAGGCATGGTGGCGCATGCCTATAGTACCAGCTACTTGGGAGGCTGAGCAGGAGGATTGCTTGAGCCCAGGAGTTTGAGTTTGCTGTGAGCTAGGCTGACGCCACGGCACTCTAGCCCGGGCAACACAGTGAGACTTTGTCTCAAAAAAGAAAGAAAAACAACCAGAAACCCCATCAGGTGCTTGTGACATGATGTGCCCACAGGACTGCTTGGTCCTGACCCTAATGGGATGGCCTCAGCACAGAGGCCCCAGCCCAGGGCTCCTGAGGGGGACACTACACAGGAAGGTACCCTTGAAGGGCTGTGCCATGGCATGGTGTGTAGTTCTCTGAGAAGGACGCAGTCTCCAACCACCGCCCTGGGCTGACAGAGGAGTCCAGCCCTTCCACTGTTGAAGGGCTCCCCAAAAGTTCCAGGGGAGCTGACCAGCTGGGACATTGGGCCAGCCTCCCTGGCCTCCGTGCAGTGGTGGGTGAGACAGGGTCCAGGGTACAGACAAGTACCCAAGGGTCCCTCTAGGACCCAGGAATGGGGGGCTGCAGGGTGGGCATGGGGAGACCTGCTCTGAAATCCACCAGGGCCCAGGAAGCCAGCGGGAGCATTGGCACCATAACTGTCCCAGCTGTATTCGTAGAAGTTCTTGGAGGTGGTTGCAATTCACACCAAGAAAGAACGGGCTTCCCAGAGGTTGCCACTTCCCACCAGGACATGAAAGGGCAGGTCAGGCTATCCCTGGACCACGTACCAAGCCTCATGCCCCAGAAGGGCTGAGTCCTGAGAAAAGACACGGAGGCCTTGAAGCCAACCTGCATGTGGTCCTGGCTCAGAGCAGCTCGTTTATTGAGCACACGTGTGTGCCCAGCACTGCAGTCAGTGCCCTTCATGGGGACTCTTCACAACCACCCTGAGGTGGGTGGTGTGGTCTGCCTCACAGATGTGGAAACTGAGGCTCTCAGTGGTCCCATAATGTGTCCATGGCCACTTGTCCATGGCCAGCAGACCTTGCCCTGTGGCCTCACTGTGGGTAGCTGCCACCCGAAGGAGTCACTGTGGGGCCATTCCAGAGTGTGGCTGGCAGCCCTGGCTGGCCTCGGCTGTCAGTGGGACTTGAGGGTCACCTCCACAGGAAAGTGGTCGCTGATGGCCAGAGCCTGGAGGGAGAAGGGACAGCTTCAGGGGTCTTGCTGGGCAGCCTGTCCTCCCTCTGGCTCCACCTTGGAAAGCTGCCTCCACCCCCCAGGGTCAGGCCAGATGGACGTCTACAAACCACTGCCCTTGTGGGGAGGTAGCCAGTAAGTGTCCACCCCTGCGGCTGCGGGGTGCAGATGGGCCCAAGACGGCTCCCTGTTGGGGAAGGCAAAGAGACACTGCCCTGCCTTCCCGGAATTATTCTGCTGGTGGCGGGATGGAGGCCCCAGTGCAGGGAGGAGCTGAGGTGGGGCCCGGCCCTGGGCAGCAGGTTTGCTGGCCTACGTGCACCAGGGTGGCCTGGGAACCCCAGGCCTGGGAACCAGCCCAGCACTTGCCTGAGTCTGGTCCAGGCCGAATTCCTCCTGGAAGTTGCGCACCACAGCGGACTGGGGCTTCAGGCTCCTGCGCAGCTGGGCGCCGCACACCACGATGCGGTCATAGGCGCAGTCCGAGTTGCCCACCGTGGTGTCGGCGCTGTCCGGGATCAGCCACTTGAAGACTTCGCTGCTGCGCAGGCGGATGGCGGCCCAGTCGTGCGGCCGCACGTACTTGCAGTCGGCATTGAAGTCACCCAGGAACAGCATGTCCTGCGGGCGCCGCGGAGCCGGTCTGAGCCCGCCCGGAGGGGCTGCCCCAGCCCCAGCCCCACCCTCGATGGCCCAAACCTCCAGGGCGCGCCTACGGGGACCACAGGACCAAGGCGCACGGGGCTTACGTCGGTGCCCCACTTGTCGATCACGTCCAGGTACACGTCGTAGAGAGCGTCGATCTCCGCCACGGCGTGGCGCGGCGCCGAGTGCAGCGGGATCAGCACCAGCTCCCTGATGGCTGCGGGCAGGGCCAGGCTGTCAGTGCGGGCGGCGGGAGGGGCGGGGCTGGCGGGAGGGGCGGGGCCGGCCTCACCTGAGCCCGGGGCTGAGAACTTGACCACGAAAGGTTCGCGACTGAAAGCGTCCTCGGGGTCCGGGTACTGGTATGTGTCCACGACCGACACTTTGTCTTTCCTGAGAGCAGAGAATAGGTGGTCGCGCTGAGCCGCCACCTCCAGCTGGGGCGCCCCCTCCTTTAGGCCCGCCCCTCACCTGTAGACGAACAAGTACATTTCCTTGTACTGGTCCCGACCCAGGGGCTCGCTGCTCACAAAGCTGTACTCATGCTCCGACACGCTGCGGAGATACGGGCCAGGCCCCGGGTCAAGGCGCTGCGCAGAGGCCTTGCATCCCGGCCGGGGAGCGCGACGCGGAGCCCGGCCCGCCACACCTGTTGATCTGCTCCATGAGCATGGATACGGCGCTCAGGTCTGGGTCTCGCACCTCCTGCACCAGCGTGATGTCATAGCCAGCAAGGATCTGGGGAGGAGCCGGCAGGTGCGGGGTGATGAGCAGCCAGTCGCCCCGAGACAGCTGCGGCCCCGCCCCGAAGCTCCGCCCCCGCTCCCTGGCCTCACTTGTGCGATGACGCTGCCGCAGGCTGAGTCCGACACTTTGTTGTCGCTGAAGCTCTGGATGTTGAAGGCTCCGATGCGCAGCGCAGTGGCCCCTGCAGCCCCCAGCGCCCAAAGCGCGGCCAGCAGGACCCGGGTCCCGCCCATGGCGCGCGCTGGGGGGACAGACGGCGGCCAGCGTGAGCGTGGACCTGGAGTCAGGCACATGGACCCTTCCTCTGCCCGCTTCCCAACCAACCAGCTGGGGGAGCGGGTGCCAAAGCGCATTCTCCGCCCGCCACGTTCTCCAGGTCTCCCAGGGGTAGCGTGCTGGGCTCTGGGACCCTAGTGTTCTGCCACTGCGTGGGGAAACTGAAGCCTGAACGGAGGAACCCGGTCCCATCCACTCCCCAGCCCCCAGCTCAACCCAGCCCCGAGACTCACCTGGGATGTGGCTGAGGCGGTAGCAGAGACTCAGAGAGCCTGGTCCAGTGGGTATGCTGGGTCCAGGCTGGGGGCACGTCCCCGCGCAGGACCAACTGCCCGGACTTGGTCGGGAAGCAGCTCTGGCACCAGGGCACGGGTATTTGTGGCCCTGGTCCAGGGAGGGGCCAGCTGTGTTGGGTCCCGCCCCCTCGATGGAGCTGGATGCTGGGACTCCTGGCTCCCTTTCCCATGGAGACCCGAGGCAAGGGGCAGGGGATCTGCCTGAGCCAGCTCTGGTGCCCCAGGCCTGGTCCCAGAACCAGCCAGGAACCCTCTGCCAGCCCCCACAAAGGCAGCCTCAGGGCTGACAGAGGATCAACCAGAAGCCAGGCACCAGAATCTGCCTTGAGCGGGCATCACCTTAGGGAAACTAAAGCAGGGCACTCAGGAAAGACCAGCCCGGGTCCAGCCCAGCATCCCTGCTGCTCCTACACGTCCTCCCCTTGGGGTAAGAAGCCAAGGCTGCTCAGCCCACCCCATGGCAGCAGGCTGGGCAGCAGCACCCTCCACCCACCACCCCACAAGCCTAAGGAAACCGGGGTCATGGGTCCGGCTGGGCGGGGCAGCAGCAGCAGGCTGCCTGTCTACATGCCAGCGACACCCACGCACCACCAAGGAGCCGCCAGAGTGGGCGGGAGCCCCTGGGCGGGGAGGACAGGCATGAGTCCAAGGGGGGCCTGGGCAGGCAGGTGCTGCCGCCAGAGGAAGCTGCAAAGGCGGGGGTGCCAGGCCCAGCCGTCCCTGCCGAACATCACAAGCTGCAGGTTTTCATGTTTTATTGTAAAGCAACAAAAAACTCTATTTACACTCCCCTTCTCCTCTGCACGTCTGAGTTCTGTGCCATCTTCTCTACCAGGCCAGGCGTGGGCAGGGCACTCAGAGACCCCGGCCCGGCTCCAGCCACCAGGGACCTGCAGGCCTCCATGCTAGACGACAACGGTCCGCACCTCAAGCTGACCCTCAGGTGAGGCGATGACCAGCTCGCCCGCATGCTCCAGGATCTCAATGTCCTCCGATGACACCATGGTCACTGTGGCCTGTTCAGTGCCATTTGCACCTGCTCGAGCCGTGAGCACAGTGCCCTCGCTGATGGCTGAGGCCAGTGTCATGGCCACCTGCTCCGTCAGGCTCTCAGGGGTGGCGATGGTGATGGTATCGGCGGCAGCTGCTTCTGGGCCCAGCCCCGCCTCCTGGTCCATGGTCACGTTCTGCACGATGATCTGATGCCCGGCGCTGGCCTGGTGCACGATCTGCTGCACCACCTTCATGATGTGGCTGTCCACCTGCGGGGGCCCACAGCTCAGCCAAGGGTCTGCGAAAGGGAGCCAGGCCAGCCCGCCCCTCACGCCAACCCTCACCTCTGTCTGGGTGCCCTCGATGATCTCCGTGGCTTCACTGGTCTCAGCATCGTCTGCAGTGGCCTGTGCAGACAGTCAGAGGTGAGCCTCGGCTGCCCCGGGCCCTATCCCAGCCCACCGGCCCTACACGCACCTCAATGATGTACTCCTGGGTGTCAGCCACCATGGACGAGAACTCCACTAACACAGTGTGTGGGTCCTCCGCAAGGACAGTGGCAGCTGCCTCGGGGCTCTCCTCAGACACCAGCAGCTCCTCCACCTCCAGCAGGCAGCCCCCTGCCGGTTGGGGGAGCTCAGTCAAGGCTTGGTGAGTCCTGGCCCTCGCCCCCTCCCACTGCCTGCCACCTGGTGTCCCGGACCTTTGGTGCGCAGGTGCCGGTTGAGCGTGCCATGCTCAGCAAAGCCACGGCCGCACTTGTAGCATTTGAAGGGCTTCTCGCCCGTATGGTGCCGCACATGCCGCACCAGCGAGCCCTTCTCCCGGAAGCCTCGGCTACAGAACTGGCACACGTGAGGCTTCTCCTCCAGGTGTGTCCGGAAGTGCACCTGTTGGGCATTCTGCAGAGACCCACTGTCAGTACCAGCCTGGCCTCAGCCACCACAGCCTGTGCTCTCCCCACCCACCTCGGGTTTGAGTGAGGGCCTAAGCCTGGGCTGCACAGGCTGGAGGTGACGGGGGCAAGGAGGGACAGTGCGGGCAGGGAACAAGGCGCATCTGCCCCCAAGGCTAGGGAGCTAAAGGATGGGGGTGGTCAGCCACCAGGATCCTGAGGCCAGAGGCCCACCTTGGTCTTGTAGCGCTTGCCACACTCAGGACATGGGTAGGGTCGCTCATCAGAGTGGACGCGCCGGTGGCCACGCACGTGGGCGATGGTCTTGTAAAGCTTCCCACAGTCCCCACAGCGGAAGCGGCGCTCGTGCACATGCACCTCCTGGTGCTTCTTGAGCAGGTAGGCCTTGGGGAACGCCTTGCCACACTGCATGCAGGTGAACGGCCTCGACCCTGCGGCCACATGCCACATCAGGCCGGCCCCCCACCCTTGGGCCTGCTCAGCCACCTCCTGCCTGCCCACAGGCCACCTTCAACACCCACTGCCCACCAGCCCACGCTACACACTCACAGGCCATCCACTGCCCACAGGCACACACCCTCCTGCCACCCACCTGCATGGCCCCTCTTGTGGGCCTCCAGGGTGGCTGCCGTTGGGAAGGTCTCGCTGCACTGAGGGCACGGGTGGGTCCTGGGCACAGCTGAGGGCTCATTGGCCACCTGCTGGGGGAGCACAGGCAGGCCTCCAGCACCCACTGCAGGCTGCACCCCAGAAGTAACAAGGACATGACCATGAGCCCCACCCTGGCAGGCTCCCTCCTGGCCCCAGGGAAGACAGGAAACAGATCAGTGGACAAAGTCACAGCAGAAAGAGACACCATTCTCTGCCAGGCTGTGAGGAACATGACCAAGCCCCCGGGGTGAGCAGGCCTCCAGGGTCTGGCCCCCGGAAGGAGTGTGCTAGCGGCGCAGGCACCTACTGTCTCCATCGGCTGTACCTCCAGCAGCGGCAGTTCCGGGGCGCCATCTCCCAAGGGCTGGGGACTGGACCCGGCGGGAGGGGCTGGATCCAGGGCACCTTCCTCCCCAGCCACGCGCTCGAGGACGATGCCAGAGTTCTGCATGGCCTGGTGCAGCAGGTTCTCACGGCCGCCCTCACCAGCACAGGGAAGCTCTTCAGGCACTGGGGGCTGTGGAGCAAGTGGAGGGAAGGAGGCTGGCCGCAGGCAGCCAGGCACGCCATACCCTGCCTCACTCTCCTCCCTCACCCCTACGCTGCCCTCTGCTGTGCTGTCTGCTGACAAGCTTTCCCTGCCACCGCCTCCCGCCTCCCCTGCACCCAGACTGAGCGCCAGGAGGCAGCCCAGAGAGCAGAGCAAGGGTTCCTGCTGGAGACACAACCCAGAATGAAGCCTGGTACTGAGCGAGCAGAGGACAGAGCAGCCCTACAGGGGCCCCCAGTCTGCCCCCACCTCTGGGGCCAGGGCTTTCATGCCCAGGGGCAGCTCCTGCATCTGGACATGGACTTCATGGATGACGGTGCCCTTGGCATCTGTCACCAGATGAATCACGGGCGAAGTCTCCATAGGCTCGTCTGTCACCGATGATGATGTAACTGTCCCCACAGCGGAGGCTCCAGACCCTTTAAGACAGAGCCGAGGAAGTCCTTAAAGACCCCTCACACAGACCAGTGGTGTCTGGGCCGGCAGCCCCGACCGGGAATGGCAGCCCCAAGCGACCCAGGCCCACACCCACCCTGCTGACCTGCAGGCACATCCTCTTGGCCAACAACCACATCCTTGCTCATGCTGAAGCGAATTTTTTCCGTGCATGGGGTAAGAGACTTGAGATGCCGGGTCAGCGCACCCGACTCCCGGAAGCTCTTTCCACATTTGGCACACTTGTAGGGGCGCTCGTCTGCGGAGAGCACCGAGTCAGCCCCGGGCAGACACCCAGAGCCAGGGCACCCCAGGCTGGGGTGGGTGCCTGAGCCAGGCAGCAGGGCACTGTGCGGCTCTGGCCCTCAGGCCCCAGCCAGGCTCACCCGTGTGCCGCCGGTGGTGCCGGATGAGCGAGCCCTTGGTGCGGAAGGAGGCCCCGCAGAGCTTGCACTCGTGGTCCTTGCGGCTGCTGTGGGTGACCATGTGGGCCTTGAGAATGCTGCCCTGTGGGGGAGGGGCAGCGAGGCTCAGGCACCTCCCTGGGGGAGCAGGCAGGAGGCCTGGCCGGCCCGCGGCCCCCGTGGCTCACCGTCTTGAAGGTCTTGTGGCACAGCATGCACACGTAGCGGCCGTCCTTATTCACCAGCAGCTTGACCTGGGCCTGTTCGCCCTCCCCGGCAAGCCCCAGCCCCTGCTGGTGGGGGCTGCCTGGGGCCTCCGCCATCTCACTGTCCCCTGGCTCTGCTTCAGCAGCCACGATGACCTCTTTGATGTGCCCACCACCTGAGGAGAGGCAGGTCAGCTTAAGCGTTGGGACCCACCACAGGCTTTGCCACCTCCATGGGATCCCTACCCAGAGACTGATGGGGCCGTGGAGCTGTTCAGACCAGACCAGCCCCAGCCCTAGCCCTAGCCCAGGACATGGGACATGCTGCTCTGGGAGGCAGCCAGGGAACTGCTCAGCCGCTCCAAGGTCAGCCTGAAAGCGCAGTAGACAACCCCCTCGCCGACTCTGTGGAGCAGCCCAGAGATGCCCCAGGGCCCCTGAAATGTGTCCAGTAGGGAGACGCACCATGAGCACAGATGCCCTATCCCCTAAGCCTAGAAGACACACAAATCCTGGTGACAAGGTGCCCAGTACACAGACAGTAGTCTGGCCAGCCTGGCTCACTGACATTTGTCCTGTACCATTGTAGAGGGAATGTGTCCAGGGTTGCCACTGGCTAGGCTGCTGGCAGGCCCAGCTGGCCTGTCCCCAGACAGACTAGGGATACTCAGCCTGGGAGACTGAATGCTCTCCAGACACCTGGGATAGCCTGGGGAAAGGAAGTCGGGCTTTTGCACTTGTCACAGGGTGTTGAGCAAGTCTGACAATGTGCAAAGCTGGGCTGTAAACACACTTCACATTTTCTGCTCATAAAAATGACAAGTGGGAAACAGCTGTGAAACCACTTCTTAGACATCGTCTTAGTCGGCTTGGCGTCTTGTTTTGACAAGCCATTCTCTTGAAACAGAGCGAAAGCGCTGTGATTCAGAAAGAATTAAGGGCCTCTCTTGCCCGTGCCCTGGTTGACGTGCTCGATGCCCCAGAAATGATCTTCCTGAAAGGACAGAGAGCTCTGGCCAGCGAGGATGCAAGGTGGAATGCGACTGCCCCAGATCCAGAGAGGAGACACGATTTGTTTCCAAGGGAGAGGCAGGAGGGCCAGGAAGGGTATGTCCAGCCCCTGCCTCGCCCTGGGCCACCAGCAGCTGGTCTCCACACAAGGCCAGCAGGAGTCCTAGGCAGCCCTTGGCCCCGGCCCTCTGAGCCGAGCACTGGCCAAGGGGCACACTTAGGGCACCCAGGGAGCCTACAAAGAGAAAATCCCAAGGGTGCAAGAGAGGCAGGGGTAAGCAGCACCTGGAGGGACTGCCATGCTGAGCTGAGGCTGGAGGTTGGGGTGGGAGGAAAGGGGCCTGGAGCAGCTGCTGGAACCCAGGGAAGGTATAGGCTCCCAAATGATGCCATCCCAGAAACCAAATGCCCCGCCAAAGCTGGAGCACACCCCACCTCCCACATGCACATTCCTATCCCTCCTATCCTAACCCAGATAAGTGTCCTTGTTGTAAGAGTGCCAGGGGAAAGGTGGCACAGAGACCAAGATGGGTGTTCCTGCTGCCTCCCAGAGAGCAGCCTGTGCCCAGGCTCCCTTCCTGGGCCCAAGGCTAGCCTCTGCCACAGCTCTTCCAGCCACAGCTGCTCCCCAGGTCTTCCCAAGGCCAAGTTGGACCTGTTATGCAGACCCACTTCCTGTCCAGCTGCCCACTCACCTGCCTTAGCCCCTGCCCAGCAGGCAGCCCCAGCAACAGCCATGCCCTTCCCAACCTCCCACCACATCAGCCCCAACCCAGCTTCCATTCAAGGCACATGCACGCCCAGCCACTCATCTCCACCCCGGGACAGCCCCTGGCTCCCATCCGCCCAGGCCCTAGGCTGCCCTTTGAATATACCCCTTGCATGCTCATCTATCCCTGATTAAGGAGAGCTTGACCCAATCCAGACCTCACAACACCCTGCACATCAGTGAGGCACTTTAACTTAAACAACAGCCATCAAAGAGGCTTGGCTTGTACAGCTCATAAAAGCCGTGTGAATATCAGGGCAGCAACCACCACCCCCACACCAGAATAAGGAGGTTCTGGGGAGGTGCAGGCCAAGGCCAGGCTGTGAGTCAGGGCCCTGCATGAGCAGCAGGTGCTACCAGGTCTGCCCCACACCCACCCGCCAGAGCCACTGCTGGAGCAGTGAGCCATCCTGGGGGTGTCCCCAGTAGGTGCTTCCTGGAGGCAAGAAGTAGGAACCTGGGGGGTGGGAAGAGTCTAGAAGGACCAGGGCAGGAACAGCTTGGGAAAACACGCAGGAAAGAGCAACCAGCTCATAATTAAGCACAAATCCAAGATTCCCAATGCCAGGATGTGCCCCAGAGCTGCCCAGACCACCATGGACACAGTGAGCAAGGCCCTGGTTCCCCGTTCCTGGCAAGGCCTCGTGCCCAGTGCTCCCTCCTCCTGCAGGCTGTGCCCTGGGGAAGGCTCACGAGAGCCCTCAGTCCCCTCCTGGCCAGGCCTTGCTTTCGGCAGAGAGGAGGGTATAGGCAGCAGAGAGAGCCATTCCCTGGCCCTGACCATAGCTGGCTATCAAGTCAGCAATGCGTCACAGCTGACTCACCCACTGTAGACATGCCTGGCTTACCAACGAGGTCCGGTGCGTGGCCAATGTCTGCTGCCAGAGAGGCTGCCTCCACCACGATGTGGGCCACAGTGATGGGCTCCTCTGGGCCAGCCGCCGCCGGCAGCACCTACCAAGGGGGAGCAGGGGGCAGAGGGGACTTGTCTGGAGGCTCCAGAGTTCCCAGAGTGCGGCCTGGGCTCCCTTGGCATGGAGCTGTGGAGGAGAGGGCCTGTGGCGGGGCTCTCTTCCCCCAGAGGACCACTGCTTGGAGCCTGACTCCCAGCCTGGCCCTGCCTACCCAGGGCAGGTGTCAACCCCATCACCCCAATGTCTCTGGCCACCAGGAGCTGACCCAGAACTCTGAACATCTGCAGGGAGTGACCAACAACTCTGGAATGGAGCCGGGCTGGTTTTCGGGAATGAAGGTGAATCAGGCAACCCAAGAGCCCCGGCTAAGGGGTCAAAGGACAAGGCCCAGAGCCCTCCTGGAGGAGAGGGCCCCTCTGGGAGAGGCAAGTACAGGATCAGAGTAAGATGACCAGGGTTCCAATGTCATCTGGGCCACTCTTTGCTGGCAGCCTAAGACCACTGACTTCTTTCTGAGCCTCCTCTCCTGTTCTCTACAATGAGGATGACAAGAGCTCCCACCCTGCGGTGTGCTGCAGAATTTATAAAAATGGCCAACCTTGTTGACATGCTCCAAGCCAAGGAGCATGTCATACTGCAAGCATGTCAACAAGGTTGACCGTTTTTATCACAAGGTAGTGGGATCCACAGGGCCATGCTTTCTTTGTGGGATTCCCAAAAACTAGGTGTCAAAAGCACAAAAGCCACCTTGATGCCCCCAAGTCAAGAGAGACCCTCAGACCCCAAGAAAGAAGAGACAACAGTCCCCTAACTGTACAGGCTTCGGCCAGAGGCTGCTGAGAAGGCTGGGCCACCCCAGGCGATCCAGGACACGCCAGGGCAACACCAGGCTCTTAGTGACACAGCTTAGACCTTCCCTTACCTACAGCCAGATGCCTGCCCTCTGCCCGCCCACGTGTCCCCAGAAACCAGCTGCACAGGTCTGTCCTGGCACACTGCCTCTTCCTCCTCCTGTCAGGTTAGCCCAGGGATGGGCATGTGCGTGTGGTGGCAGTGGGGTGGGGGCTCACCTCCTGGCCCAGGAGTGCAGTGGTGGCAGGGGTGGCGGGCAAGGCCTCCGGAGGGGCCCGCTGGCAGGCCTTCTGAATCTTGTGCTGAACGAAGTCTTCCAAGGCAGTGAACTCCGCCTGGCAGCGGCCACATCTGTGCACGTCATCCTCATCTGCAATGAGCCTGCTGTCAGTAGGCCTGGGCTTCCCCTCCAGCCTCAGACCAACTCACCCAAGTCTGGCATCTTGCTTTCCCGGCCCTCCCAGACGATAACACACATGGGGACCCAGGACTAGGTAACCCCCGGGTGCAGCCCCCATCCTCTGGAGTTCTGCAGGAGCAAAGCCCACCCAGGGAGCACAGCATGCAGTAGGGTGTGGCCCTGACCACACGCTGAGCTGCCAGGATCCACTCAGGCTGTCAGACCCAAACCCTCCATTTTAGCAGCGAGGGAGAGAGAACCAGGAAAGGGGCTGGGAGGCAGAGGAATTCCCCAAGGTTTGGGAACAGTAGAGGACTAAGATTTAAGACTGTTGGGGTGTGGATGTACCCTTGGGCACCTCAGTGACCTCTCTAGGTCCATTGGCTCATCTGCAAAATGGGCTGACCCAGTGCGTGTAGAGGGTACAGTGGGGGCTTGCAGGCTGATGCCTATAGCAGGGCCCTGACCAATGACCACTCCTCTCACTGATTTGGGGCTTCATTGGGTCCCCAGCAGGCAGCACCCCTGCTCAGACATAGACACCAATGGTAGAGCTTTCCAGAGGAGTTCCATGCCCCAGGGCCACTGCACCTGAGCCCCTCATCACCACCATGCTGGCTCCACATCCTGCAGAAGAGACTTCATGCTCACTGAGTCCTTCCTGTGGGCCAAGCACCCCAATGGGGACATCACCAAATCATGCCAGCACCCTAGGGAAATGGAGATGACTATTCCCATCCTAAAAAAATGATTTGAGGTTCACGATCACCCAACTGCTGAGTGCTGGGGCCAGAACCTGAACCCGAGGGTCTACTCCAGACGCCCTGCTGTTTGCACAAGGGGTGGGGAGCTGTCCCTTCTGCTTCCACAAAAGTCTGCCAATTTCCATCACCTCACGTTCAGTCCCACGTCAAGGTCAAACCCAAGGCTGGGGCACAGAAACCTGGTCAATGTTTGTTGAAGTAATGAGCAAATAAAAGGCCAAACCACAGTCTGACTTGCCCACAGAAGGCCACTCAAGAGAAGGTGGTCCCCTCCCGATGGCTCAGTCAGAAACCAAGCACCTAGGTGCCCACCACCCTCTTAACCTTCCCGCCCCGCTTGCCAAATCTGACTCGGCACCAGGTCATTGCCATCAAAGGAGCCCCTACCCCATTAGGAGACACACCCAGCCCATTTCGCTGAAACAGGGTATGGGCAAGCCCAGCAACCTCCAAAGGGACCCTCTCCATGTTGGCACTGCCCCTCTCCAAGCTGAAATAGGAAGGGACAAGAAAAAAATGCACAGACTATGAATCCTGTGAGCACAAAAACTAGACCACCCTAACTCTAGTACCACTAGCCAACCCCTTCCTTCCTGTCTGACCCCTTCTACAGCCTTATGGGACAAGCTTAGAGGGTAGAGACCCAGGCTATGTCTCCAAAAGCTATCAGTGCCCCCATGAATGAGTCTTTGGTGTGTGCCCGACATCGTTCTTGGGGCTTTACACGCACACTCTATTTTAATTATCACGATTCTCCTATGAGATACAGAGCCCAGATGGAAAAGAGGCAGAGCTTCACAGTCCTGGGATACAGTCCAGTCCTTGCTACTTACTAGCTGGGTGACTCGGTCACGTTCACATCTCTGAACCTCAATATTCCTCATCCCCCAAATGGGAATAACAACAGCATCCACGTCTCAGGATTGGTTTGAGAAAGAAAAACGCTGATGCAGAGTAAGTGCTGGGTATATTATGTGCTGCAACACGCACCTCATTTTGGAAGGGGAAATGGAGGCTCAGAGACGTATTGTCACCCTCCCAGCATGAAAGAGCTAGAAAGTGGCAGGTCTGGGACGGAGCCCACAGGCTGACTGCAGTGCCCCAGCTCTCCTTCACTGGGCTCTGCTGTCCCCACAGACAGGCCTGGAGCCCCGCCCTCCTGGAGCCTCCGTCCCACCCGGGCCAGGGCCCTGGCGGCGCGTCAGATGCGGTGGGAGGGGGCCCGCAGGAGGGAAGAGCCCTGCTCGGCACAGGAGGCAGAGAGGGGCCGGGCCGAGGGCCTGAGGGGGCAGGGCTGGTGGTGGTGGCGTCTGCGAAGACCTACACGGAGAGCCCGGAGGCTTGGGCACCGGTGAGTACCCGTGAACACGCACCCGGGCCCACGCGGGGGATGGGCGGCCCGCAGGGGAGGCCGTGAGGGTCCGAGAAAACCTGGGAGGCTCGTGGCTGGCTGTGCGGGGCCCCGTGCGGTCCGCGCGGAATCTGGGTCTGGAGTGTCTGTCGCGCTCACAGCTCGGGCCACTGAGGCCTCCGCCAGCCCAGGCTGGGCCGCCCCCACCCCGGCCGCGCCCGGCCCGGTCTCGCCCTGTTACCTTCCTCGCTGAAGGGCGCCGGGAAGCCGAGGAAGCCGCCAGGGGCCAAGGCCGCCGCCGCCGCTTCCGCCGCGACCCCGCCCTCGCCCGCTTCCCGCCCAGCTTCGGCCGGGGCTTCTGCCGTATGAGCGGCCGTCACCCGCACTGCCATCGCGCCCTCCATGTCGCAACGCGCCGCAGGAAGATGGCGGATTTACGACCGTGTCGTCATAACAACGGGCCGCGCCGAGCCCCGAGCCAAGGAACGACGGGAGGGGGCGGGGCGGGGCCAGAGTGGAGTTGACAGACAGGCGGCGAGGCGGGGCCTGGGGAGGGGTGTGGCCTGGGCCCGCACAGACAGCCGGGGGGCGGGGCGGGGCGGGGCTACGGCGGAGCCGATCGCGGGCGGGGCAGGCGCGGCTCCGGGGCTCCGGAGGCAGAGCAGGTGCGGCCGGCCGGAACGGACGGTGCGGTGCCCGCCGCTCCCCTCAGACCCTCAGGCCTCAGAACCTCTCCAGATGGTTACCGGGTCTCAGGAGGACCCGAGCCGCTCATGGGCGGCTTTGCGAAGCCTTTTATTCTTGTATGTATTTTTAAAATTGTGGTAAATACACATAAAGTTTACCATTAGTTCACGGTGTCGTGCAACCACCACCGCTGTGTAGTTCCAGAGAGATGTCAGCATCCCAAAATGAAACCTGTCTCTGTTAAGCAGTCGTTTCCCGTTCTCCCCCTCTGCCCTGGCGACCACCAATCTGTCCGTATGAATTTACCTATTGCGAACGTGTCGCATAAATGGAATTATTCAACTTGTGACCTTTTGTGTCTGGTTTCACTCACTCGGCCTAATGTTTTCGAGGTTCATCCATATAATGTCAGTCTTTGGCTCCTTTTTATGACTGAATAATATTCCATTGTATGGATAAACCTCACATTTGAGTCGTTGCCACCTTTCTGGCCATTGTGAATAGTGCTGGTGTGAACACTCATGTACAAGTTCCTTTTCTATTAGGTAATATTTAATTAGCTCTTTGAAATTAAGTGCTTCACAGGGTAGCTCATTTAAGATAGTCATCCACATTTTGAAGATGAAAAGGCTGAGGCCCAGACTGATAGCACACTTCCCAGAGGCAAGACTGGCGCAGGCCTGTCCAGAGCTGTGTGCTGGGAACCCACATGGCTTGACCTCCCTGCACACTTATTCTCTGTGGGCCAGCCAGATGCTCGGTGCCAGGGACGAGGGGCCATCAGACCCACTCCCCTCCAGCAAGGCTAGTCACCAGGGAAGATGAAGCACAGACACAAGGAGGGCCAAGAAGAGAAGTATGTCCCTCAGCAGGGAGTGGGAAGGGCACTGGACAGAGGTGGCCTCCATGCTGGAGCTGCCCAGCTGGGAAACAGGACCTCTGGCCTGGCAGGAGAGGAGCTGGGATGTGTGATAACAGGTAGAGCCATGGGCAGTAAGGCCGAGGTCACAGTAGGGCTGCTCTCTGCAGGCAGGTCCCGAGCCACTGCAGGGGATCAAGCAGAGGGAATGATGGTCGGTGTTTCAGGCGGGTCCCTCTGACTGCTGAGCAGGAAAAGGACCTTGGGGCCCCAGCAGAAGCAGGAGCGGGGCTCAGGAAGCCACTGGATCCAGGGTGGATGGTCTCTGAGAGAGGCAAGCCGAGAGGAAGAGCAGGTTGGGCTTGGAGCACAGGGATCTGGAGAGCTCCCAGTGGGAGGGGGACCAGAGAGAGCTGGGTGAGGTGAAGCCAGCCAGGAGGCGAGCCCAGAGCCCAAGTCACTGCCCTTGAGCCTGTGCTGGAGGGTAAGAGAAGCCGGCATCCAGAGGAATGGAGGGTGCTATGGTTTGAACGTTCCACCCCTTCAAAACTCCTTTGGAAACTGAATCCCTAGTGTAACGGTATTAAGAGGTGGGCCCTTTAAGAGGTGATTGGGTCATGAAGGCTCCACCTTCATGAATAGGTCAATCCATTAATGGGTGAAGGGTTATCACAGGAATGGGTCAGTTATCTTGACAGTGGGTGTCTTGTGAAGGCCAGGTTGCCCCTCTCCCATGGCCATGGGATGCCCTGCATGCCTGGGGACTCTGCAGAGTGTGGCCTCACTAGATGGGGCCCCTGTACCTTGGACTTCCCAGACTGCAGAACTGTAAGAAATAAATTTCTTGTTTTTTATAAATTACCTAGTCGCAGGTATTCAGTTATAGCAACAGAAAACGGATGAAGACCGGGGTGGGGGAAAGATTCTGAAGGCAGAGGATGGGCCTGGGTGTGGATGGACATGAGGATAGGCTGGGCCAGGGTAGACCTGCCGGATGTAGGGTCAGGGCCAGGCCAGGGCTTCTGCTTAGTTATTCCCTGGGGGTCAGAAAAAGGCATCCTGCCAGGTGAGTTCTGGGCCATGCCTTGGACAGGGCAGTGGAAGGCAGAGTGGCCAGGAGCAGGCAGAAGGACCGGAGTCTCCCTTCTCCCAGATGGTCCCCTCTCCTACCCTGCACTCAGCCTGGGCTCTAGCTGAACCATGTGTTGACTTTCCGTGGCTATACCTAGACAGGAACTCTAAAATCTTTTACAATATCAGCTCAATCTCCATTGGTTGGATGTACTATGTTTAGCCAATCCCATGTGGAACATTTAGGCTGAATCCTTTTTTTTTTTTTTACCACTTGAGTGCTTTTTCAATGACCCTCATTTTTGCTCATTAGAAGCAATAACATCTTTGTACACAGATTAAATGGCTACTTGTATTTTCTAACAGAATGTAAATCCATGCAACACTATTAAGATACTGTCTGTCCTTGTACCACTTAAAACCATCCCCCGTTCCGCAGATGGCACGAATTCCTCACTTGGGGAGATACTAGTGCCATCCAGTCACAGGTGTGTAATGAGTGCCTCCTGTGTGTCAGGAACACATTGTGACAGGTTCCTTTCCCTTCCAGATGAAGGGCCACCTCATCCTGTTCCCACCGATGGTCAGACCTCCCCCATAAATGGCACTGTCCCTTCCAGTCTCCTCGATGACCTTGTCCACAATCATCCTTGCTGTTACTCCTGCCCATCCCACCTCTCCCACTATGCCAGCTCAGTCCCTACTACTCTACCACGCAGCACACTCAGAGGATGTAAAACCAACCAGATGCAGCATAGCTCAGCTTCAGGGTTGACAGAGTTTAATCCCAACTCAGCATTGTCAAGTTGGTGACTCTCTCCGGCTCAGTTTCCTCATCTATAAATGGGGATACTAATAATCCCTGCCTCTCAGGGCTATCCTGCGGTTCTGATGCGCTAACGCACGTGAGGAGCAGTGCTTGGTGTCCGGATGCTTCCTGAGTACCCAGGAAACCAAGGCAATTGGACAAGTATTGCAGGAGCTGAGTCACCGCCGGACCTCATCAGGGTTTCCTACTCTGGTCGTTTTATCTAATCAACTGGATGGTAAAGGCAGGGTTTGTGATTCTTGTCAAATCCAGTTCTTCCCAGGGTCAGCCTGACCACCAAACCCAAGCATGAAGACTCAGGGAAGAAGGTCCCCTCCTCCTGGGCAGTGGGTGCTCCGGGCAGTAACACTTAGTAGGCCCTGCCCTTGTAGGCTATGGTCCCTGTCCTCCAGGGGTTGCCAGGCCAGCAGAGACCAAAAGAAATGAGAACTTTCTGGGGTGTTGGAAATATTTCATATCTTATCTGGGTTATGTTTACACAGGGCTATATATCCACATATATGAAAATATATGTGGATATATATATATATGGATACATATATCCACATGTAAAAACTCCATCCGGCTCCACACTTAAGACTTATGCCCTTCACTATGTGTTATGCCTCAATAAAAGTTAATACCTGGCCAGGCGTGGTGGCTCACACCTGTAATCCTAGCACTCTGGGAGGCCGAGGCGGATGGATTGCTTGAGGTCAGGAGTTCGAAAGCAGCCTGCGCGAGACCCCCCCCTACTAAAAATTAACTGATCAACTAAAAATATATATAGAAAAAATTAGCCGGGCATGGTGGCCCGTGCCTGTAGTCCCAGCTACTTGGGAGGCTGAGGCAACAGGATCGCTTGAGCCCAGGAGTTTGAGGCTGCTGTGAGCTAGGCTCATACCATGGCACTCACTCTAGCCTGGGCAACAAAGCCAGACTCTGTCACATACACACACACACACACACACACACACAAGTTAATACCTAATAATCGACGATGACTCCAAGGACCCACTGAGTGCTACATGATAGGCAGTGTCCCTTTAGACCCTAATGCCACCGCCTGGTAATTACCGGCCCACGTGACAGGGAGAGCCTTACTGGAAGGGGCTGGAGGCGAGACCGCGCGGCCCGCTGGCTCCAGAACTGGAGGGCAAACCGCCCCCGCGCCGACGTCGGGCCCGACCGTGCTCTGGACGCAGGCACCGGCCCGGGCGCGGCCCAGCCGAGGTGCGGAAGTGACTCCGGTCGCCCCCCCTCGCCCCTCGGCCCCTCCCGCGCTCCTGCGGAGAGCCCCGCCTGTGAGAGGAGCCAGCCAATCAGCAGCCGGCCCGGCCCAGGGTCACTTAATCAAGGGCCTCCGTCACCTAAGCTGACCACTCGCCTCCAATGGGCGCCCTGCCCTGCCGCCTCAGAGAAGCCGCGACCTTACGTCCCGCGCCGGCTCCCCGGCGCCCTGCAGCGTTTCCGCAGTGGGCGCTCCACTCCGAATGCCGGTTGGCGCCCCACCAACCAATCGCCGGTGCGCCCCGAGCCCGGCAGCCAATGCCCGCCCGCCTCGCCGCGCCGGGCTGCGACGGTTGGCGCTGAGTTCCAGCGGCCCGCGGGAGGCGGGGGCGGATTGGCGCAAGCAGCGGCCAATGGGAGGCGCGCGCGAGGCGCGGGGCCAATGAGCGCGCCGGGGGCGGGGCGGGCGCCGCGGCGGGCGGCTGTGAGGAGCGGCCGGTGGCGGCGGCGGCGGGCGCGGCCGGTGCGGCGGCGGGCGGCTGGCGGCCATGGCGGAGGGCGGAGCCGGCGGCGACGACGCCCGCTGCGTGCGGCTGAGCGCCGAGCGGGCCCAGGCGCTGCTGGCCGACGTGGACACGCTGCTGTTCGACTGCGACGGCGTGCTGTGGCGCGGCGAGACGGCCGTGCCCGGCGCGCCCGAGGTCCTGAGGGCGCTGCGGGCCCGCGGCAAGCGCCTCGGCTTCATCACCAACAACAGCAGCAAGACCCGCGAGGCCTATGCCGAGAAGCTGCGGCGCCTGGGCTTCGGCGGCCCGGCGGGGCCCGGCGCCGGCCTCGAGGTCTTCGGCACGGCCTACTGCACGGCGCTCTACCTGCGCCAGCGCCTGGCCGGCGCGCCGGCGCCCAAGGCCTACGTGCTGGGCAGCCCGGCCCTGGCCGCCGAGCTGGAGGCCGTGGGCGTCGCCAGCGTGGGCGTGGGGCCCGAGCCGCTGCAGGGCGACGGCCCGGGCGACTGGCTGCACGCGCCGCTGGAGCCCGACGTGCGCGCGGTGGTGGTGGGCTTCGACCCGCACTTCAGCTACATGAAGCTCACGAAGGCGCTGCGCTACCTGCAGCAGCCCGGCTGCCTGCTCGTGGGCACCAACATGGACAACCGGCTCCCGCTCGAGAATGGCCACTTCATCGCGGGTCCGTGCGCCCCGGGGGCGGGCGGCTGGGGGCCGGACGTCGGGCGCCCTACCCCGCTCTGACCCCGGTCGCTCTCTCCCCCTGCCTCTCTGCCCCGCAGGTACGGGCTGTCTGGTCCGAGCCGTGGAGATGGCGGCCCAGCGCCAGGCGGATATCATAGGGAAGCCCAGCCGCTTCATCTTCGACTGCGTGTCCCAGGAGTACGGGATCAACCCGGAGCGCACCGTCATGGTGGGAGACCGCCTAGACACAGACATCCTCCTGGGCGTCAGCTGTGGCCTGAAGACCATCCTGACCCTCACTGGAGTCTCCACTCTAGGGGATGTGAAGACTAATCAGGAAAGTGACTGCATGTCTAAGAAGAAAATGGTCCCTGACTTCTATGTTGACAGCGTAGCCGACCTTTTGCCCGCCCTTCAAGGTTAAAGATTCAGTGTCTTTAATCTCCAGAATAAAAAAAAAAAAAATTGAAAATCAGTTACCCAAATTTATAGGTGGGGCTTGAGCATCTGCTCAGCTAGGTGGCTTCACAGAGTGTAATTGGAGTTAAGCAAAGGGATTGGTTGTTAACCTTGCAAGTAAACGTTTTGGGGGCGATTTTGTTTACAGATGCTTATATTTTAAGATGCACTTTTAAGCTTGGAGGGCATTGAGGGGGCAGGTTCTGGGCCTCGGGTGTCCTTGGCAAGGGCAGCCTCAGCGTCTGCCCAGGAGTCAGGTCACCTGGGGACCTGCTAACAGGACTGAGACGGGTCTAGAATGGTTTGTCGTTTATTTTGCTGGAAAATTCATTCAGGGATCAACTGCTCTGAAGGGCAGAGAGGAGGGGCTGATATTGTGACTGTGGTGAGAAGCTTGCAGAGATGGAACCAAGGCCCCATCAGTGTGACTGTCCAGTGGCAGAGCCTTCTGCATCCCCACTCCTCACTGCAGGGTGGGAGTGGAGGAGGGGGCTGCGCCAGGTGGTGTCTTCCTGCCCTTGGGGTGTGGGCTTCAGGGTGCTGCATTTGCCACCTTCCCCCTCCCCGCCGTCTTTGAAAACCACTCTGATGTCACACTTGAGTGTCTGTTCCGTTTTAGATACCCAGGGCTGCTGCTGCTCATGCAGAGTTGCCCAGTTCTGTAAACTCAGACAGCTAAACCTCACTGCTCTCACGTTTAAACCCAGGTGACTTGCACTGAGTGTGGTGTTGGCTGAGTGGCCAAGAAGGTATGGCTGCCTTCACTGAACTCTGGGCTGCTGTGCAGGGAGCTCCAAGCAGTGTTGGTACCAAAAATTACTTTTTTAACTTTTGAACAACTTTGTCAAGTGGTGGAATTGAATTTTAAGTGTGTTGATTAATAGCTGTGCTCTGTCTCATAGGGAAAATCCCACTGAAGAAGCCTCCGTGGCCTGCAGCCAGCAACAGGGCTAAAAGCACTTGTTGGCCGAGGAATGCCTGTTGCCCAGGGCTCTGGGTGGGGGAGGAATGAGATGTCCCAAGAACAGGAAGTCCTTTTATGAACCAGTCTCTTCCTGTCCTCACATACCCTGGGTTGGGTCAGGGCAAGGATTAGATGCTGGAGATTAGATGCCCAGTGGCTCATGGAGCCACCCATCTTGGCCCTGAATTCCCTTGTAGGTGGCCAGCAGGAGTACTGGCTGGGTCCACCAGCTAGCCCACGGTTCTTGGCAGGGGCTTTGCCCCTTTCTGCCTGTTCCTTGAGTCCACAGACTTTTAACAGGCCTGACAGGCAGAGTCAGCAGCACTTGCAGGGCAGAGCCTGGGAAGCTGTTCCTTTTGACTGACTCCTTCCTGGCGCCTTGCCCTGCACCCAGTGGCTTCTCCCAGCCCCACGGTCACAGCACTCCTTCAGTTGTTCACGGAGCGTTCTCAGAGCAATAAAGGTGTCATGAGCCTTCAGTTCCTCCCAGGCCTGGGCCCCAAAGTTTGGATGTGCCACAGGGCCACATGAGGGCAGCTGCGCCTGTGAGGTTGGTGGTGCTGACGTTGGCTCTGCGAGGTCGGCTCAAGGTGGGTCTGGATATTGAGCAGGCCTGTCAGGGCGTTGTCACCCACACCAGGAGCACGTGGCAGGTGCGGCAGTCAGTGACACTTCCCTCTTCAGCCCACCACCCAAGAGCCTGTGTGTGCCCTGTCGCCGGCCCACAAGGGCCATTGCACTGTGTGACCCTGAATGCATATTAAACTCTTAAACCCACAACGACTCAGGCATTCCTTGCTCTTGTCTTGCACTAGCCCTGCACTGAGGTGGCAGCTGTCTAGCCGCAGGTGGGAGCAGGGAGGGATGAAAGTGGAAGGCTGGACTGGGATTCCAGTTCCAGAGTTGGAATGCCATCCACCCCATTTCAGACCCATTACAGAGGAACAGGTTCTGAAGAATCAGGAAAAGCAAGATATAAAGGGAAAGTGGAGGAGAGAGGGCCACGGGGGAAGCTGGTGGAGGCATGTGTGCCTGTGTTGGGCCGCCATGCAGCAGCTGGATGGCTGGAGGCACAGGGCAGTGAGCGAAGTTGAGTTAGAAACCGCCCTGGGCGGGACACCAAGGCTGTCCTAACGGTCCAGCCTCCAAGAGCCTGCTGTGGCACTCGCTCTGCATGGCGCCTGTCTTGTGTTGGTTGGGGCAGAGGAGTGGCCAGGGGTGCATAGGCCCACACCGCTCATTCACTGAACAGGCATTTATTGACAGCTCTCTGTGTGCCAGGGCCTGTGTCCAGCCCTGGTAGTCTAGAGGTAACCCAGGAGACTTAGACACCTCTTCAAGAAAATTATCAGCTGCCCTGCCCAGGCCTGGGCTGCCCTCCAGTCAGCAGGCTGGACTTACTTTCCACGTGGCTGTGCCCTACACCCTCTCAAACCCCGTACTCCGCAGTCTGCACAGGCCAGGTGTCTGGAGAGCCAGGCCTGCTGACAGGCACCCCCAGGTAGGAGGAGGCGACTGTCCTGGCTCTGACCTGGACATCAGATCCGGAGCTGGGCAGGAGGCTGTGGGTCAGGAGGGGAGGGGTCCAGTTGTTTGGCTCATCAGAGGCGTCCTGAGGTTTCCTAGGCGAGGCTGCCGACAAGGGGCTGCAGACAATCGGCGCATTGTCAGCAGGGGCTGCAGCATGGAGCAGGAGAGCGGCTGCACGGAGAGCCCCGGGCCCGGGCCTGCGGGGGTGAGTGCCTCCCATGCTTCTGGGACAAGGACCCAGGGGATGCCCCAGGCAAGGCAGGGGACAGAAATGCCCACCCTACCTCCGCCCCTTCCTTCCCTGAGCAAGCCTGCTCCCTGGTATCTAACCCCAATGACCCACCTACCCCAACGTGCCCCCAGGTGAAGACCAAGCCCTGCCATGGAGGCTGGAGGGCCACTGGCCTGCTGCTGCTGTTGGCACTGGCCACTGCCGGGGCCGTGGCTGGGGGGCTCCTTGGCTTTGCTCAGGGCCCTCCTAAGGTGAGCCCCTCCTCGGGACCAGGGGAAGGGGCAGGGGAGGCCAGCACATCTCAGCTTTCCAGAGAGCCAGGGCTGGGAGCAGAGGGCCTGTTCAGGGGATGTTGGAAACCCCACAGCCCAGAACTGAGGGGTGTGGGGGGCTGCCCAGCTGAGCTCTAACTTCCACTCCCAGCCATTGCTGCAGATGCTGCGACTGACCCTCGAAAGCCCCCAGGTACCCCGGTCCAACCAAACCATCCTGGTGGACATAGCCCGCAACTCGGCAACCATTACAGTGACTCCACCTCAGAGCAACCGCAGCTGGGTGGTGCTGTTCGACGGGCAGAGCGTGAGTGGGCAGGGAGGGGTCACTGCCGCAGGTGTCTGGGGTGGCCCTACCTCACGCCCCTGCCTCCCCAGGGCTGCATCTGTTACCGGGCTGAGGAGCACCAGGCCTGCTTCCTCCGCCTGATGGAGGACCGGGATCGGGAGACCCTGCAGCTGCTGGTGAACACCTCGAAGGTGAGCAGCCCCCGCTGGGCTCAGCCCAGGGCCAGGGGCCAGACAAAGGGTCCTGTGTGCAGCCTGGGCCAGGGCAGGCTGGGGCTCTGGTTTCAGGGGAACAGAAAGCTCTATCTTCCCTTAGCTGGGGCTGTTGACAACAGCTGAGGGTGGGGCCATCAGGCTGGGGGCAGGGATGTAGGGGACCCACCAGCCAGAGGCAGGGGAGGTGTCCCCATCCGCAGCCCACCAGAGCCTTCTCTGCAGGCCCAAGGGTCCCGCAGCCCCAGCCAGGACACTCACTATACCCAGGAGCTGCTGGCCGTGCGAGGGAGCCATGAGGTGGACCCTGCCCAGGTGGGGGCTTTGGTGCAGCACCTCTGTGCAAAGACCCCCATCTACTGGGCTCGTCGAGCAGAGGGTGAGTGAGGGCAGCTGTGTGGGGAGGCTCCTCTGGACATCTGGGGGGTTAGGGGAGAAGCCTTTTCGGGAATTCATGCAGCCCCCTCCCCCTAGGGCCCCAGAGGCAGCGGTTGATCTATCTCTGCATCGACATCTGCTTCCCAAGCAACATCTGCGTGTCAGTCTGCTTTTATTACCTCCCAGACTAAGCCGCCTGGGCCAGCCCAGCCCGTCCCCAGTCTAGCGGGCCAGCTGGGTCACCAGCAGCATGGAGGACAGCTGCCGGCAGGGACTAATAAACCCTTACACCTGGCTGTGGTGGTGTTCTCTATGGCCTCTAGACCTGACATGGGTGGGGAGGGGAGGAGAGGGGAGAGCACTGGCTTGGGGGGGCACCAGACTCAAACCCCTCCACAGCTCCAGGCCCTGGGGGTCCAGACTTTCTGAAAGGAGTGCAGGCTGTCCCAGTCCAGTCTCAGGCCACCTCCTGGGCCCTGTCACAGCCAGATAAGCAACTGTGGGTTGAGAGAGCCCAGGGCGGAGCAGCCTGCAGGTTGGGCTGGCCCGGGGAGCCAGTCAGGTCTGGTTAGCCAGGGCTGGCAGAGGCTAGCCCGTGGGGTTTCACTCTGACCTGGTGCTGTGCAGGTATATCCAGCCAGTGCCACCTGCACCAGGCAGTGCCAGCTGTAGGCCGGCACAGTCCTGAAGGGCACAGGCTAGCCCAGCACGCTGTCGTTGAAGGCCAAGCAGACGACAGCCTTCTGGTGGCCTCCATACTCCCTCTTGATCTCTCCAGTCTCCACGCACCAGAGCCGGGCCAGGTTGTCCGAAGAGGCTGAAGGGAGGGCCGGGCAGCAGCTCAGGATGCCAGCCAGGCCAGGCCGCCTGAGGCAGAGGAGGAGCAGAGGCCTGAGCAGGGTGGGCAAGGGTGGAGGAGGTGGGAGGGCTGGGCTTACCAGTGACGATATACTGGGAGTCCCCCGAGAAGGCGCAGCCCCACATCCAGCCCCGGGACGACTCCCCAGGGTTACCGCTCCTGATGCTCAGCTCTGTCATCAGGGAGAAGTTGGACGTCCTCCAAATCTTGCACGTCTGGTCGGCCGAGCAGGTGGCAAGGAGCCTGGGGGCAAGTGTGGGGCATCGAGCAATAGCCTCCCACTCTGCACCCCCATGCCATGCACCAGGTAGGCCCCAACCCATCAAGCCCCCAGCCCCAGGCAGGACCCCGCCTAGGCCACCAGGCCCTGACGCACGTGGAGTCGGGGCTGAAGCGGCACTGCAGGGCGTAGCGTGTGTGGGCAGGGATCTTGGTCTTGGGGATAAGCTGAGTCACCTCGTCACCAATGCCCCCAGTCAGATTCCAGACATAGCAGTTTCCCTGTAGGGTAGGAGGCAGTCACAGAGAGCCTGGCTTTGCCCTGAGACTCAGGGAAGGATGCTTTGGGGGCTCCAAAACTGGGAGCCAACTGTGCTCAGGGGCACACAGGTGGGCACCTCTGGTCCTACCTGTAGGAGGCACCCAGGAGGCCTGGCCCCAGTCTAGGGCCACATCAGCCAGAAGAGTGCAGGAGGCCACACTTGGCCAAGGACTTGCATATGCCCTCCTGGAGGATGCCGCTGGCCAACAAGAACGTGAAGAAGGATGCGGCAAGGGCACCCGACAGAGGGACAGCACAGATGGAGGCTGGAGGGGGGAAGTCTGGGGACGTGGAGAGTAGTGATGCGCTACGATCCCAACAAAATTAACGGGAGAAGATGAGGCTAGAGAGGGGAGCAGGGCCCAAACCACAGCATCCCACAGCCATGGTCAGGAGCTGGGCATCTTGGGTCCCCCAGGAGAACCAGTCTAGCCAGTGCTGCTGAAGGACACTCTGGCGGCCAAGGGAAAATGGATCAGGGCCCAGGAGAGGTCAAAGAGGAGGAAGAGAAGCCACAGAGAGTATGTCTGCTGTCAGGGGGAGACAAGGATGACCTGGACCAGGAAAGGCAACAAGGAGAAAAGAAGGAAGTGGACAGACTCGAGAGAGATTCTGGAAACTGAAGTGACCGCCCCCTGCTATATGTGCTAAGGCAGGGAGCAGAGTAGCATCAGCAGTGACACCAGGCTCTTCGGTGACTGTGTGGGTGTTGGAGCCCAGAAGAGGGAAAGCAGGATTGTGGGGGGAGAGAGGGACCCAAGGGAATAAGCCCATCTGGAGGGGCCTTACAGGGCTGTGTGCTGACCTGCGCCCACCACAGGGACTCACGGTGCTATTGACCGCTGCCATGTAGCTGGCATCAGGGTCGATGTGAGCAGACGTGATGGAGACCTCAGGCTCAGGAATCAGCTGCTCGTTGTGGTCTGTTTTCAAGTCCCAGATGTGGATAGCTCCACTTTGGTCACCCACGATGAGCTCTGCCTAGGGTGCAGAGGAGGTGAGGCAGGCAGGACCCCTGTCCTCCAGAGGCCCAAGGAGCCGGCCTCGAAAGTACCCCTCACCTGGTTGGGGTGCAGGCACACACAGTTAATGGGCGCGTTCACCTGGAAGATCCGCTGACACTGCAGGTTCCGGGACCTGCAGGGTGGGGGTGGGGGCACACACCATCTGTAGCGGGTGCTGTTGGTGCCCCACCCAGATGACCTCTCTCTGGTGGATTATCCTTGTCCCGCTGCTGATAAGAAATGCCTTGTAGAAAGCACTGGGAGCTTCCACCCTCCCCTCCAGGGGCCAGCCTGAAGCCAGTGTCTAACTAAAGGGAAGGAACAGGCTGGCCCCTGGCCTGGAGGCAGGACTAGCTCTTTGAAGCAAGTCACTCTGTCCTGCTTTCCTCACTTCCTGCAATAAATCACCCACACTAAAGCTTCCTGTCTCAGCCTCTGCTTGGAGAGAACCTGACTAGACAGTCTCCGGGCCTGGCCCACCCCACCGCCAGGCATCAGGCCCCTCCTGCCCAGCACTCCACACCTGAGGTCCCAGATCCTGGCCGTGCAGTCCTCCCCACCCGTGTACATCCAGCGGCCATCCTCGTGGAAGCCCACAGACGCAATATTCTTGTTGACACCGTCATAGCTGATGATGGGGTTGGGGTTATTGGAGTTGAGATCATACATGCGGATGTGCTGGTAACCTAGGGGGACAGGCTGAACTGAAGCTTGGCTCTGCCCAGGTCGGCCCACCAGAGGTTGGGGTCAGAGGTCAAGGGTCACGGGTACCTGCAGCAGCAATCATGCTGCGGTCTGGCGTGATCTCCAACGCATTCACCTGCTGGGTCTGTTAAGGAGGATGGCGGGGAAAACGAGGCCCTCAGGGCCTACGAGATCTGGCCTAAGCTGCTGCTGCACCCTTCCCACGCTGTCATCTCCACCCGGCGTCCTGCCAGCACCACCCTGCCCGCCCGCTGGGTGGAGGATACAGAGTCCTGGTGCTGCACGGTGCGGGTGCAGATCCCGCTGTGGGCCTGCCAGAACCGCACGGTGTGGTCATAGCCCGCAGTGGCCAAGATGACTGGGTCACTGCCCACCGTGCCCGGCGAGGTGTTCATGGTGTGGCTGTTAGGGAGACTGAGGCTGCAAAGGGCCCGCGATCGGACCGGCAGGGGTCACAGGTCAGAAGAGCGTCTGCAGAGGAGAGAGGCGACGCAGAGACACCTAGGTACTAAGTGGATTACAGATCCACTAGGTGCTGACAGATGGCTGCCATGTGCATTTAGAGACGGGAAAACAGCGCTGACAGGTTCGGGGACACGCGTGACAATCCGCCAGGGGCAGCTCCGGGCTCCAGCGCGCGCTCGGTTCCCCGCCCCCGCCCCGCGGCCGGCAGGGGGCAGTAGCGCACGGGCCCACTCTGCCGCAGGGGCGAGCCGCGCGTGCGCAGGGCGGCGGGCGGGCCGGGGCACGGCCGAGCGCTGCGGCTGCGCATGCGCAGCAAGACGGCGGCGGGCCCTGCTCGGGGGGCGATGTCTGGCCGGATCCCCGAGCTCCCCAGTGCTCTCCGCCGACCGCCCTGGTTTGGTTCTTCTGGCCAGCCTGCCCCGGCCGCGCTCTCCCCGCGGCCCAGCAGCTGCTTCCCGACCCTAACCCCGTGGCCTCCATACCTTACAGGCGGCTCCGCGCTGCGCCGTGGCCCAGGACGGCGAGGGGAGCCAGAGCGAGTCGATAGAAGCCGAGGTCGAGCGTAGAATTATCGATGGGCCTCTAGGGCGAGACCATGTGCGGACAGGGGTGGGTGGGACGAGACCAAGTTCTGGAACTGGGGCTCCTGAACCTGGAGGCTCCCGGGGGGTGGGCAGCGCCTTTGTCCCCAGCCTTCTCCCAAATCGGCACCACCCCCTCTGACACGGCTGCCCATTTTCCAGGCTTGGACCCCCAGGCGGAGTGGCGCGGTCCCCACACCCTACCACCCGCTAGGGTTGTCAGGTCAAGTACAGGACTGGAATTTCAGATAAGCAATAAATAATTTTTTTAGTGTGAGTATCTCCCAAACATTGCGTGGGACATACTCATACTAAAAAATAACTTGCTTATCTTGTCGTTTTATTAGCTGTATCTGCCACCCCAAGGCCAAGGTCTGTCTAGCCCCAGCCAGACCCTGGGGACACCCCACCCAGCCCAGGGACCCCTCAGAACCACAGACACTCATTACAGCCCCGCGCCCTTCCAAAAGTGGTCTTACCCCTGGGATGGACTCTCCCATGGTTTATTCCCACTGTGCTTATAAGCAGGCCTGCACCCCTCCTTTCCTCCCGCCACACCAAGTCCCTTGCCACCCATCCAGGCCCTGGGTCCCAGAAACCCTCCTTCCTACTTCCTTCCTCCAAGCCTTTAAACACCACAAAACAATCCCAAACTGTCTCTTTGGAAGAGCCATCTCACTGCCTTGCTAGCTCCCTTCCTCAACGCCCCCTCATTCCGCAACCCCTTGGATCTGCCTTTTACCCCCAGCTCTCCAGTGAAAACCCTTCAAGGTCACTGGCAATCTCACTTTGCTAAACCCAGTGGATACTTTTCCTCCCACATCTTGACACGTCTGTGCAGTGGTTGGCAGCGCCACGCCTTAAAATCTCCCATCTCCTACCCTCTTGCCTGGCACTGGATCTCTTTTCCTGCCAGCTCTCCAGAGACCTCTCTCTGCACCCCATGCTAGACCTGGGGGCTGGGAACCCCCAGCTCAATGGCTTCCAATAGCCTCCCTGCTCTGGGGCCTTTCTACCCTGTCTCCAGCTCAGGTGGTTTCCAGAACCTTCGCTTTTGAAGCACATCCAGCTCCATATCACTGTCCCTTGAATGCCCCACCAACACTACCACCTTCCACGGCCAAGACACGTCATCACTGACTGCTTCCCCTTCTGTGTGCTGCATCCCCCCTTGTGTTACAGCTGGGCCAGATGTGGACGCACCCCTCCCTCACCCTTCCTTTCCCATCAGCCAGGATTCTACCTCTGGCCTACCTGCCTGCCTGTCCTTTTCTTTCCACCGCCCTGGCTCTGGCTCCCCCACCCCCCAAAACAGTCTCCTCACTTGTCCCATCCACTTACTTTTGCTCTCTCCAGGCTATCCTCTGAATTACAGAGTGGTCTTTTAGAAAAACCTACGTCTGGACTGGGTGCAATGTCTCATGCCTATAATCTTAATACTTTGGGAGGCCAAGGTGGGAGGATCACTTCAGCCCAGGAGTTCAAGGTTGCAGTGAGCTGTGATCACTCCACCACACTCTAGCCCAGGCAATAGAACAAAAATCTAAGTCTGATCTTATCATCCCATTAGAAGCCTTCCAGGGTCTCCATCACCCTCTAGACTCCTGGGTCTGGCCCCTACTGGAGCTGTGGCTTCCTGTGTCTCTCCTCAGGTCATGTGTTCCAGCCAGGGGAGACACACCCTCCTCTTTGAGCCCTTGCCTGCGCCTGGGATACTTTTCTCTCTACTCCTTTCCCTGCCAAACTCTTGGCTTTAAGCACCTTTAATAGCTTTCTTTTTTTTTCTTTTGGCAGAGATGTCTTGCTTTGTTGCCCAGGCTGGTCTTGAACTCCTGGGCTCAAGCAAACCTCCCACTTCAGCCTCCCAAGTAGCTGGAACTACAAGTAATAGCATTTTGAGGGCTTATTCTGTGTGGGATTTTGTGCTTGGTGTTTTTGTTTTAATTGAGATGAAATTCACATAACATAAAATTAACCATTTAAAGTGAACAATTCAGTGGTGCTTAGTACACTCACAGTGTGTGCACCCACCACCTCTATCCGGTTCCAGAACATTTTCATTGACCCAAAAGGCACTCCCTGTCCTTCCTTCCCCGGCCCAGGCCCTGGCAACCACTAATCTGCTTTCTGTCTCTACAGATTTGCCTATTCTGGGCACTTTATATAAATTAAATCATACGATATATGGCCTTTTTCGACTGGCTTCTTTCACTCAGCGTAATGTTTTTGAGTGTTTCATTCCTTTTGTAGCTAAATAATATTTTCCCGTGCAGGCAAACCACATTTGATTCAACCATTTATCCTTCCATGGATATTTCTTTTTTTTCTTTTTCTTTTTTTTTTGAGACAGAGTCTTGCTTTGTTGCCCAGGCTAGAGTGAGTGCCGTGGCGTCAGCCTAGCTCACAGCAACCTCAAACTCCTGGGCTCAAGCAATCCTCCTGCCTCAGCCTCTCAAGTAGCTGGGACTACAGGCATGCGCCACCATGCCTGGCTAATTGTTTCTCTATATATTAGTTGGCCAATTAATTTCTTTCTATTTATAGTAGAGACGGGGGTCTCACTCTTGCTCAGGCTGGTTTTGAACTCCTGACATCGAGCAATCAGCCCACCTCGGCCTCCCAGAGTGCCAGGATTACAGGCGTGAGCCCCTGCGCCCGGCCTGGATATTTCTTTTTTTTTTTCCTTTTTGGCTATTGCCACTAATGCTGCTAAGAACACTCAGGTGCCAGCATCTGAGCGTGTGTTTTCATTTCTCTTGGGCATATACTAGGAGTGGAATTGCTGGATCACATGGCAACTCTGTGTTCAACTTTGGCAGGAACCGCCAAACTGGGAGGAGCCTTTTACCTACATTACTACGCATGGAGTCCTTACAACGACTCTGATGAGGAAGAACCGCCCTCATTTTGGAGGAAACAGAGGCTCAAAGATGTAGAACCATGTATCCAAGAGGACACGACTGGAAGACGGTAGGACCCAGGTTTCGCCCAGCTCTGGGCCAGGCCCCATCCCGTGGGCTCAACTCTCTCCTGATCTTTCCCCCTCTGGCTAGGGGGATTCCTCCTGGGCAGCCCTGCACCTCATATGTCCTCTTCATCTTCCTCTCGAAGTGAACAGGAGATCCCTGAGGCCGGCTCAACGCCTGGCCCAGAGGCAGCTTGGGGAATGGCAGATGGATGACACTCGGGCTTGCATGGCTGGGAGAGGAGCCCCAGGAACACCAGCCTTTGTAGCCTGGAGACCACTAAACCCGTGAGGGGACCTACGTGCAGGAGAGAAGGGTGGGCTGAGGCAGGCTTGGCCAGGTGTGTAGGCTCCCACCTGTCTCCAACACCCTGAGCTGCTTGCCTTTTCCGTGGGGCCTCTGGATGGAGGCTGAGGGCAGGGGAACAGCTCTTGGGAGGCTGCAGGTGTCCCAGGCCTCGGGGTGCTGATGCAATAGGCAAGGCCCCCATCCTCCTAAGTAGCTCCAGCATCTCTGCTGGGCGGGAGTGTGTGGTTTTTGATCCTCTGCAATGTACCAGGCACTAGCTAAGTGCTGTACAGAGGTGGCACCCACAGGAATGATAGAAACCATGGCAGCTAACGTATGATTCGTGCTTCCAGCACCCCATGGGGAGAGCACGTTATCATCCCCATTTTATACATAAAGGGCCAGGCACCAGGGCCTTGGGGGGTTAGGAGGGACACCCAAGAGCACCTGAGCAGCCACACAGCCGGTGGGCAGAGGAGGGGGCTGCAGCTGGCCAGCCGACGCCGTGCATCTGGGAAGGAGGCCAGCCCAGGCTGCAGTGGAGCTACCGCCAGCTCCACTCCAGGCTGAGCCTCAGCAATTCTGCTGGCTCAGCGGCACCCCCCACCCCCCACCCCCAGCCTGACTTCCTGGAGGGCTGCCCGAGTCCCACGCCTCTGCATCCTCATCCCCCAGCCAGAGTGGCTGCCTACTGGGCCGCTCTAGTCCCCAGGCTGGAGTGTCCTCCCCAGACAGATGCACATCTCTGTTTTCATGCGACTTTCCCATCAGCCCTGGGCTGCAGGCAGAGCTGCTGGCCCATTTAACAGATGAGGTAGTTGAGCGTTAGGAACTTGTCCAAGGTCACTGGTTGGCAGTATTGGATCTGAGGCTTCCTGACTTTTCCTGGGCGTTAGCCTAACCTAGAAGGGGAAGGTTCTGGCCTCCTCCTGCCACACTCCACCCCTCATGTAAGGAGCCTCAGGGGCCATGACCAGGAGCCCACCTGGAGCCCAGGTGCTTCTAGACCACACTCTGAGTACATGCCTGGGACCCCAGAATTCCCTGCCCAAAGGGCCCCAAGCCCACTCCCAGAATCTGTGCAGCCTTCTTCCTGGGTCTGTCCTCCTGAAGGTGAGCCACACAGTGCAGTGCCCACCCCTGGGTCTGAGGACTAAGGGCTGCCTGTTGTGGGGTGCAGATGGTGCTGGAGCTAGGCAGAGAACACGTGGGCAGCTGCAGGCAAGGATCAGTTTATTATCCAAAGGAATCCAAGAATTCTAAATTTGAACTTGGACTTTCAGGTCATGATAAAGTTACATTTGTCAAGGTAGAAGGATAGGACAGGTTTTATTTCACAGGTTATTGGCATGATTTACAACATTTAAGTATTCTGACTGGGTGCAGTGGTTCATGCCTGTAACACTAGCACTTTGGGAGGCACAGGCAGGAGGATTGGACTTTTGGAACCAGCCTGGGCAACATGGCAAGACCTCGTCTCTACACAAAAGAAAAACAACACCAGAATAATTAGCCAGGTGCGATGGTACACACCTGTTATCCCAGCTACTGGGGAGACTGAGGCAGGAGGTCGCTTGAACCCAGAAGTTGGGAGATTGCAGGGAGCTGTGATCCCACCAATGCGCTCCAGCCTGGATGACAGAAAAAGACCCTGTCAAACATTCAGTGTGTGGGCCTCTGTATTCTTGCCCCAGGCCCTGTAAATGTTAGGCACAGGTCAGCACGGTTTACCTTGACAAGTCCAAAACATAAATAAGAGTAATGATGGTAGCTGTCTTCTTATTTTTATTTTTTTGCAGTTCCTCCGGTATGCTAGTCACATTGCCAGACTCTGTAGATACAAAGATGCCAAGCACCCAGGCAGAGAAACCTAAGAATATCACAGTATCTACAGCAGCCTTTTATCAAGCATGTACTAAGTCCTGCTGCAAAGTGCTTTAGGGACATCATCGCAAGGAATCCTCCAGGAATCTCATGCTTACCCTCATCTCCCTGTGGGGGCACAGACTCAGAAAGACAAAGTGACCAGCTCATGGCCACAAAACTGATAAGAGGATGAACTGGGACAAGTCCAGAAGCCAACATGGGTTCAAAGTCCAGATTCATGACCTCGAGACTTTGGGACATCAGATGAGCCACTTAGCTTCTCTAAGCCTCAGTTTCTTCATCCTTAAAATGAGGACAGTAAGTCCAACCTCATCTATAAAGTGACCAGCACAGTGCCTGGCCTGAGCAGGTACCCAGGAATCAGTCACTGTAAGGGTTGTGAGGGCCCTTGCATTTTAGGAGCCCCCCCAGCTCTGCACATGCCAGAAAACCGGGGCTTGCTCCCTAACCTCAGGGGAGACGCCACAAAGGGAATGGCCAGCTGCCCTTGTGATCCCGGGACCCCTGCTTCCCCTGCCCCACCTCCTCGACCTGCTTGATGGTTGTGCCACAGGAAGCAGGGGCAGGACACCCTTCATGTGTGCCACCCTCACCAAATTCTCCCTGCAGCCTTGTCCAGTGGGGGTGGTGACCTGCCCCTCTCTGCGAATGAGGAAACAGAGCCTGGGCCAGGACTCAGACCCCAACTGGTCTGTCTCTAGAATGCTACAGGCCTGGAGTGGCCCAGGCCTGCAGGCAGGAGGTCAGAGGGTGACACTTCTGTCGGGGGTGGGGTAGGGTCAGCATCTGTCAGCCAGGACTGTCCTTCCTGGGGCCCCAGAACCCGCCGCTGGAGGCTGGAGAGAACGCAGGGTGGGCGCTAGCTTGGGGGGTGGTGCGGGGTAGGGGAGCTGAGGCCCCTCTGCTGTGGATGTGGGACCTGCCCCTGGGCTGGGTCCAGACTGAGGCTGGGGGAAGCTGTCCCCGCATTATTTGTGGAGAGGAGCCAGCCGCTGCAGGGAAAGAGGTGAAGCTGGGGGCAGGGAGAGCGGGTTCCCTGACACCGAATTCATTACTGGGAGATTCCTCCTCACAGCCCCTCCACACCTCCCACGGGAACCGCGGCCACTGGCGCCCGGGTCTCTCCGTGCCGGCCCCCGCCCGCCCCTGCCTCGGTAATCCCTCCCCGCTTGGGTCCCGCAGCCTCTGGAAGGCTCTTCGGGCTCAGCCTGGCGCTGCCGCCGCGTCCAGCCCCCGGCGGGCGCCGGGCCGTCCTGTCCGCAGAGGCCGGGCCGGGCCGCGCGGCCCGCACGTGGGGAGGGGGCGTCTCGGGGGAGGGCCCGCGCGGGGGCGGAGCCACGGAGCCGGGCGCGCGGCCGGCGCGGGCTGACGGAGGTCAGCGGCGCCGGGAACCCAGGCGTCCGGAGGCGGCCCAGGTGCGCGCCCCCCGCCCGCGCCCGCCGCCGCCGGCCCCGCCCCGGGCCGCCCCCCCGCCCGTGAGCGCTCGCCGCCCCCTCCGCGCCGGGAGCCCGAGCCCGAGCCGGAGCCCGAGGAGGGCGAAGGGGCGGCGGGCGGCCGAGCAGGCGGCGGGACAGGGAGGGGATGCGGCCGCGGCCGCAGGGCCGCCGCGTCTGAGCCGCGCGAGCGCACGGAGCGCAGCCGCGTCGCTGCGGCCCGGCCGCGCCATGGGGAAGGAGCAGGAGCTGGTGCAGGCGGTGAAGGCGGAGGACGTGGGGACCGCGCAGAGGCTGCTGCAGAGGCCACGGCCCGGGAAGGCCAGTGAGTGCGGGGGGCGCGCCCGGGGCCCACCTCCCGCGCCGAGCCCCCCACCCCTCTGGGCGCAGGGCGGGGAGGGATGCTGCCGGGTCCCCGGGGGCGGGGCGGGGCCAGCAGCGCCCAGACCCTCAGTCAGCGCCCCCCCTGCCCCCAGCACGGGAGGAGGGGCGGCGCGGAGCGCCCGACCGTCACCGCAGCCCCCGCAGCCCCCGGCGGGGTCCTGACGGCACCCACCTACCCGGCCGGCCGCAGGCGTTCGCATCCCTCCTTGCCTGCCTCCGTCCCCTCCCTGCCCAGGCTACGGGCTGACAGCTGGAGGTCTTGGATGGGCCTTTAAAGGGCGAGGCGGATGCCCCCACACACACACCGTGGAGAGAGGGAGGGGCCGTGGCGGCAAGGGGTGACCAGGGCCCTGGCAGTGCCTGCTCCCCCTCCCCGCCCCATGTTTAATAACACGCTTCGCAGGGAAGGGGGGACAGGACCACGCTGGGGGTGTGGCTGCCCCCCCACCCCCTGCATGGCTGGTGGGGGGCCGTTTACTCCCGGAGCAGAGGCCCAAGGTCGCCCAGGCAGGGGCAGCCCCGGGCAAGGCTGTGGGCCCACTTCTCTGGCAGGCTCCAACAGACCCTGGTCCCCTTGGGCTTTTCTGCTGGTAAAGGGGGCTGTGAGGGAGGGGCGCCACTGCCCATCCCAAGCTGGCGCTGTGGCAGCCCCAGGGAAGGGTTAGGAGCTTGGAGCCCTGATCCTAGCACTCATCCCTGCTCAGCCGGAACCTCCCTGGGGGCCACAGGAGATGGATGGATGGGCGTCTGGACCAGCCGTGTGTGCGGCTGCACACGTATGACCGTGTCAGTGTGTCAGGGCACCTGTGCGGGCACGGGAAGGGCTCTGCAGGTCAGCACGTGGGGTCTGGGCACCTCACTCCCCCTCCCCCCCAGACTGTAGCCAGAAGGCCCCTCCCCTTTCTCCACTGAGATGAGCACTGGGACTAGCTCCTGGGGGGGGGGCAGGAGTACTCCCGCCCCCCAGCCCCCTTCCTAGCCAGCCTGTGTCCACTCCATGCAGCAAGAGAGAGAGACACTGGTGCCTTGCGTGTCGGCAGGCTGGCCCTGGGCTGGCTCAGACCCTTAGGGTTCAGAAAGGGAGGGCTTCCAGGCAGAGGCATCTCAGCCAAGAGAGGCATAGACATAGGAAAGGCTTCCACCTAGTGATCCTGTGACCTTGGGCATGGACAGCTCTGCTCTCTGGGCCTCAGTCTCCCCATCTGTAGGATGGGACGTTTGCTCTCAGCAGTGTTGTGAGGACAGCGAGAGGTGAGTGCATGTGAGGCTCCAGTACTTAGCAAGTTCTCACCAAATGCCAACTACCACTGCTCCCCTAGATGGCCCGGGCCCGGAACTGGGGAAGTGGAGGCCTCAGATTTGGGGGTCCCTCCTCCTTTCTATTCAGGCCGCTCAGGGGCAATGGGGGCCTTTACCTCTGCCTGGGTCTCTGCCTCTGCCTGTCTGGCCTCTGGGACAGGGGAGACACCTGCCCTGGCCCCCGTGTCTGTACTCTCTGACTCACAGGGGCGGGTGCAATAAATCAGATGGAGAAATCCCTCCATGAATTAGCTCCGTCGTCATGGCAACGCTGGCCTGCTTTGGAGTAAGATGTATTTTGATTCAGCAAAGTACAGCTGGAGTTTGGGCCACGAGGTGGGGGGTGTCCAGCAGTGTCCTCTAGGCCTCTGAGCCCAGAGGTATTCCTATGACCCTTGCTTTCGTGGTCCCCTCCCAGTGCCTGGCCTCTTCCCTCCTCCCACCACTGTAGTGTCACCCCAGGCTCTGTCACCCCGCCTTGAAGGGAGCCTCCCCTGTGTGCACATGCACGCTTAGCGGTTGTCCTTGAGGGAAGAAGAGACTCTGCTCTCTGGAGGGAGAATGCTGGGGCAGGGGTGGCCTCCTGCTGGTGAGGAGGGCCCGGTGTCCCCGTCCAGGAGGCCTGAGGACACCCTGGAGGAATTCCCTGCACACTGGTGCCTGCCACCCTCTCACCTTGGCCCACTAAGTTCCTTGCAGCTTGGAGTTTGGACCTGACCGCAAAGGTCTGGTCTCAGGGAGCAGTGAAGGGCTGGGTAATAGGCAGGGGGGTGCTCAGGTTTGTTGCTCCTACTCACATGGAACCCATGGGGTGTAGTGACCTCGCAGGGCGGGACAATGGCTTCTGGTAGAGGCTCCTGGACCTCCGGCCCGGCCCCACCTGCCCCCTCCAGCCAGCCTCCACCCCTGCTCATCCAGAGAACCTGCCTCCAGGGGCAGCCTCCCCAGCCCCAGGCCTGTGTCCGTTCTGGGACCTTCCTGGCCACCCAGTATCCCTCACAGGAACTGGGAGAGAGTGTCCCAAGACTTCAAGCTGCCACCATCCAATTTCAGCTACTTTCTTCTTTGAGGAGGCCCTGGGCAGAAAGAGGGATGAGTTGACTTGGTGAGCTGCTGCCCCTCCTCATGGGGTGGTCCCCATCCTAATGGAGACTCCTCCTCCCCCACAGGTGTCACTTTCTGCTCCTTGACCTCCCACCCCCTGAAATCTCAGCCCCAGCAGGTGTAGCTGGGTGAGCAGGTGGGCCTGGCCGTGGGTCCCACTGTGCAGGGAGGAGAGGGCCTGGCTTAGCCTGTCTTGGGGGAGACTCCAGGACTGGCTGCGCTGGAGCTGGGAAGGGCGGGGTGCCGTGTTCCTGTGGGGAGCATCCCCAGTGTGGCCATGGGGGAGGGGCAGTGACGTCTGTACTCCCTTCAGCTAATGGCAAGGGACAGGGACTGTGCAGGCCGCCCAGCTACATAATTCGCAGGGTTCCGTGCAGAATGAAAATGCAGGGCGCCTTGTCCCAAAATTAAGAATTTAAAGATGGTGACAACAGAGCAACCCAGCAGTCGTGGGGACTTCTGGGCGCGTGGGCAGTTGCACTCCCGCGAGGCCGCCCCTGGCAGGTGGACAGAGTGTGAGATGGAGCTATCGGTTCAGTCTGTGGTTTAGTGAGCACCTCCCACGCCCACAGGCACTGCTCTAGCCAAGGGTGGCATTGCCACACGTGGAAATGGACGTCGATTCCATCTCTTGGCCTCTTGGTGCTTATAGTTTAGTGGTGGAGGCGGGTAGGGAACGAGATCAGTGAGATGTGACGTGGCCAGTGATCGTGAAGGACAGAGCAACATGGCAGCCATGGGACGGGGGTGCCGTCTTGGGTGGGGAGGCCTTGCTGACAGGTGACGGTGGGCATGAGGGAGGGAGTTGTGGGGGTCCGTAGTGGAAGAACAGCCCCCCCGGCACGTGCAAAGGTCCCGCAGCAGGGGCAGCCTGTATGTCGGGGGCACGTCACGGAGGCCCATGTGGCTGGAGCAGGGGTGGCGTGAGAGTGGGCAGGGAGGTCAGGGCGGGGGCAGGTGCGGGGGTGGGAGGGACCCGTTGTGCAGTATCATCGCCCTCCCTCGGCCTACCCCCGCCCCCCAGCGAGATGGGCTGCTGGAGGGTCTTCGGGAGAGGAGCGGCAGGATCCCACTTGTGTTCTGACAGGGCCCCCCTGACTGCTGGGCACCGAGGTTAGACCCAGGGGTGAGGGAGGACGTAGGGACGCGGTGGGGAAGTGGTGGCAGTGATCCTGTGAGGGATGCTGGCCTGGCCTGGCCTGGCCTGGTGGTGGTGGCAGTGGTGAGAAGCGGTGAGTAGGGTTCCAAGCGTGCCAGGAGCATCTCGAAGGCAGAGCCAGGAGGGCTCACGGAGGGACGGGATACAGCATGCAGGAGAGGCCCAGGGCCGGATCCATGGCTTAGACCTGGGCCGCAAAGGGGAAGGGTGGCATTGCCACGCGTGGAAATGGACGTGTCTGAGCACGGGGGCGCTGGCGTGGTTGGAGACGCCTTCACTCTGTGCAAGAGAAGCCCCTCGCTGCAGGGGGTGGGGGTGGAATTCCCACCTAGCTGATGTTAGTCGTTGCCACTCACTGAGCCCTGGCAGTGCCGGCCCGTGGGCTTCCTGTCTGGAAGTGCTTGCCACCACTGCCGCCCGTCAGCACAGCCTTCTCTAGCTTGGGGAGGAGGCCAGCGGCCAAGGCCATGGGGCTAGCCACTGGCAGAACGGAGACTTGAACTCAGGCCCGTCTGACCTTGTGGGCCTCGTGGGTCATTAGGGGACCCACACCCTGTGTCTGGCGGCTGAGACCAGGGCTGCTGTGGGTCACCAGGCAAGCCCTGCAGCCTCTGTGCCTCGACTCCCGCCCTCAGGCTCCCACCCCCACCCCTGTCCTGGGCCTGGACAAAGGGGCTTCTGTCCTGCGCGCTCCCCCTCACTGAGTGACTGACCCACAAACGGGTTATGTAACCAGGGCCCAGACAGGCAGGGGGTTGGCCCAAGTCCACGTGGACATGAGCCCACTGGGAGGGCGTTGGTGGGCTTCCCTGCTCTGGCAGCCGGCTGGTGAAGGCTGGAAGGAGATGGTCCCAGGGGGGATGGAGGCCCCTCGGGCAGGCTTGGGCCCCTTGAGCTCAGGTGGCCTGAGCCCTGTGGCCATGATGGCTGTGTGCAGGTCACGCAGGGTCACTGGCCTCTCACCTACCTCCCCGCTGCCCTGGCCATGTGGGTAGCCCACACTGGCTGTGGCCCAGAGCTGGCAGTGAGGTGGCCGCGTGGTGGAGATGCAGCTCTTCCCCCAGAGATACCCCCATTTCCGGGTGTTCCAGCCTCCCTGGCCACCCCCGGCCCCATCTGGGTCTTCTGAGAGACAGATTGGGCCGGCTCTCTCCCTCCCACCATTGGCAGGTGCTCAGCCAGCGTCCCCAGGGAGGGAGTGCTTGTGCACACGTGTGCGTGTGTGTGTGTGTGAGTGTGTCTGTGTGGGTGCACAGCCTAGTCTCCTGTCCCCAGGCGGGGACAGACCGGAGTCCTTGGTTGGTCCTGTGAATCACCCCCATCTCAGTGCAGTGGGAACCAAGGCCCAGGCAGTTGGCACTCGGGGCCGAGAGCAGGGCAGAGCTGAGTGGATGAGCCCCTGCTCTCCGGCCGCCTGGAAGGGCTGGGCAGAGCCTCCCCTTAACCGTGTCCCTCTCCACTCCCAGAGCTCCTGGGCTCCACCAAGAAGATCAATGTCAACTTCCAGGACCCAGATGGGTGAGTTCTCAGCCAGGGTGGTGCCAGCCTGGAAGGGGGTGGCAGCTCCTGGGGAGCTGGGGTGCTGGGTCTTCCCCGACATTTGCCCTCTGCCTGCGCCAGCTTCTCTGCGCTGCACCACGCAGCCCTGAATGGCAACACGGAGTTGATCACGCTGCTGCTGGAAGCCCAGGCCGCCGTGGACATCAAGGACAACAAAGGCAAGCTTGGCCCAGGCCTGGAGCCAGGGGGTGGGCAGTCAGGGGCTGCCCCCACAGGCCCAGGTGGTCCCTCACCCAATGGCTCAGCCCAGGGTCTGGGTCCGGGTTGAGGCGAGTCCTTGTGCAATCCGTGTTCTGGAGGTCAGCGTTGGGTTCAGGGTCAGGGGTTAGCTCCCAACAGCCCCCACCTGCCCCCAGGCATGCGGCCCTTGCACTATGCGGCCTGGCAGGGCCGGAAGGAGCCCATGAAGCTGGTGCTGAAGGCCGGCTCAGCTGTGAACATCCCGTCTGACGAGGGCCACATTCCCCTGCACCTGGCGGCCCAGCACGGTCACTATGATGTGGTGAGACCCGGGTGGGGGTGGGGGGATGGGGCAGCCCAGGCCGAGGGGCTGCCGTGGGCCTGACGGTGCTCTCGGCCCCACAGTCAGAGATGCTGCTGCAGCACCAGTCCAACCCCTGCATGGTGGACAACTCGGGGAAGACGCCCTTAGACCTGGCCTGTGAGTTCGGCCGTGTTGGGGTAAGTCTCCCTGCAGAGCCAAGTGGGGCTCAGTCTGCCCGTCCCCCTCACCTGGGGTTGGGGTGGCCCAGGCCAGGGCCCCCCTACCCTGCCCCCTCCTTCAAGGTAGTCCAGCTGCTTCTAAGCAGCAACATGTGTGCGGCGTTGCTGGAGCCCCGGCCGGGGGACGCCACTGACCCCAACGGCACCAGTCCCCTGCACCTGGCAGCCAAGAATGGCCACATCGACATCATCAGGTACAGCCCTGGCAGGAGAGAACTTGGCCTCACTATTCCTAGAGTTCAGTGGCACCCTGGGCTCAGGGATGACATCGTGGGAGCCACAGGGACATGGTCAGCCCTCTGGTGTGGCCTCTAACCGCCCATGTATAGGATGAGCTGCAGGGGCTGCTACAGCCCACAAGCCTGGCTCTGTCCTGGCCCTGCCACTGCTAGGTGACCTCGTGGAGGCACTGAATTCTCTGAGCCTCAGTTTCCCCACCCATAAGATGGGGGGTCCCAACAGTGCAAACACTAGAATTAGAGGAGATACCAGCTGGGAAGGGTTAGCACAGGGTCGGTCAGACACCGTGGCAGTCAGGAACACGGGGCAGGGCCGGCCGGTCCTCAGCCCCCAGCAGGCAATTGGGGTACCCAGGAATTGAGGCCTGGTGTGGGGTGTTGGGGGCTCCTGCTGGAAGGCCTGCCATTCGCTCCGCCTTCACCCCCACCAGGCTCCTCCTCCAAGCCGGCATCGACATTAACCGCCAGACCAAGTCGGGCACCGCCCTGCACGAGGCCGCGCTCTGCGGGAAGACAGAGGTGGTCCGGCTGCTGCTGGACGTGAGTCGGGGCTGCGGGAGCTGGCCCAGGAGGGCGGCGTCGGGAGCTGGCCCAGGCTCCTGACGGCCTCGCCCTCTTGCACACCCAGAGCGGGATCAACGCCCACGTGAGGAACACCTACAGCCAGACGGCCCTGGACATCGTGCACCAGTTCACCACGTCCCAGGCCAGCAAGGAGATCAAGCAGCTGTTGCGAGGTGGGCCCGGGTGGGGCGGGGGCTGGGCCCGGCCCAGCGAGGCCAGCTCTCGGGACAAAGGTCCACCCCCTGTGTCCCCAGAGGCCTCGGCAGCCCTGCAGGTCCGGGCGACCAAGGATTACTGCAACAATTACGACCTGACCAGCCTCAACGTGAAGGCCGGCGACATCATCACAGTGAGGGCGGCCCCGGGGCCCGGGGAGCGGGGCCAGGTGGGGCCTGGGCAGGCTCTCCCAAAACAGCCTCCCGCAGCAGCCGTGGGCGCTGGGCGGGCAGGAGTCTCAGAAAGGTGGCCCAGACTGCTCCCCGTGCAGCAGCATCCTGAGCACGGCCCCACCTCACTGACCAGGTTCTGGAGCAGCATCCGGATGGCCGGTGGAAGGGCTGTATCCATGACAACCGGACGGGCAATGACCGAGTGGGCTACTTCCCGTCCTCACTGGGCGAGGCCATTGTCAAGCGAGCAGGCAAGTCCCACCACAGCCTGGGGGCCGGCAGGGAGGAGCCAGTCAGCCTCTGCTTGGGGGCCAGAAAGGGGTCCAGCAGTGTGGCCCGCGGCCGTCTCCTCGCCAGTGGCCGCGCGCACCCATCCCTCCGTTCATCCCACAAGCACGCGTGCCCGCCACGCTGTGGTTCTGAGCTGACCGCTACAGACGGTACCCAGACGCTGCTCCTGCTCTCAGGGAGCTTGCCCTGGGGTGGGAGCGGGTAGGGACAGTGACATAAACACAGAGGGAACTGTACCAGTGACGCAGGGCAAGGGAACAGAGGCCTGCTTTAGATGGGGTGGTCAGAGGTCAGAGAGGGCCCTGGCGGGGGGTAGGGGGTGGGGGGCCGCCATGGGCAGAGCAGTTCAGGCACTGAGGCCGGAGGGGGCTGGGCGCAGTGAGGAGGGGAGGCCGTGAGCTGGGGCACAGTGAGTGCCAGGGAGAGGGGCATGTGGCTGGCCCCAGGGCCCAGGCTGCGGAGCCCACAGGTGGTCTCCAGGGCCAGAGAACACGGCAGGCGACGGTGTGTGAGAGGGCAGAGGCGGCTGGTTAGGAGGCAGGGCCCGCACCCACAGCCATCCAGGTGGATGGGGCCTTCCGTAGGCCCCTCCGCTCCCTGGAGACAGCAGGGGCAGGAGGCAGCCATGGTGTGGCCCCTGGAAGTGCGGACGAGCTAGCCTCTGTTCTGCCCGCCCCTCCCCTCGGCCCAGGGCTCAGGGGTCTGTGCTTGGCCTACAGGTTCTCGAGCAGGCACCGAACCAAGCCCACCCCAGGGAGGCGGCTCTTTGGGGCCCTCTGTGCCCCCAGAGGAGATCTGGGTGCTGAGGAAGCCTTTTGCAGGTGGGCTGGGGGCCCTGAGGGCTGGGGCAGCAGGACTCTGCAGGGCTCCACTGTGGGGCCAGCGCCTCACCCTGCTCCCTTCTGCTGGCAGGTGGGGACCGAAGTGGCAGTGTGAGCAGCGTGGCCAGTGGCCGAGGCAGCGGGGGCCACACCCTGCATGCAGGCTCCGAGGGAGTCAAGGTGGGTGGAGTGGTGGCCAGCGCAGGTGGCCAGGGTGGCCAGGGCCTGGAGCAGGCGGTGAGCGGATCTTTCTGGGTTATAGCTCCTGGCAACGGTGCTTTCCCAGAAGTCCGTGTCCGAGTCCAGCCCCGGGGACAGCCCGGCCAAGCCTCCAGAGGGTTCCGCAGGTAAGTGGAAGGTGCAGCTGCGCCTGCCTGGTGGGCAAGAGGCCCTGAGCAGCCCCTGCCCCCCACCGCTCTCTTCCCCAGGTACGGCCCGGTCCCAGCCCCCAGTGGCCCACCCCGGGCAAGTCCATGGAGATCAGCCACCGAAGAAGCTGGAGCCGGCGTCAGAGGGCAAGGTACAGGGCTGGGCCAGCCTCAGGGAGGGCGGGGTGGCAGGGCTGACAGTCTGATGGGCACCCAGGCAGCCTGGCCTGGCCCCGGGCACAGCAGGGCCAGGGGTCTTGCCAGGCCAGAGCCTGTACTTCTGTCTGTCAGTCTGTGTGCGTTGTGTGCACACTCCCGTGTGTACAGGTGATGTCTATCATGTAAGCGGTACGCGTGAGCTGGTGTGTGCCTAGGTGTGTGCACGCTCGTGGAGGGCACGTGCAGTGAGTGGGGTGCGTGTGCGGCGGTGTGGCTGTGAGCTGGGCACAGGTGTGAGACAACACAGTGTGTGCGTGGGCACAGTGGGCCGTGTGTGCGTGCACCCGGGTGCTGGGGAGGCGTGAGCTGCTGGCTGAGTCCTCCTGCGGGGCGGAGGAAGCAAGGTGCCCGCCTGTGGGCACAGAGCCCACCTTCCAGGGAGCTGGGGACAGCCCTGTGCAGCCCAGCCAGAGGCCCCTTTCCCCAGAACCCCCTCACACGGGGCCACACTGCCTGCCTGCCCGAGATGGTGCGGGGTGTCCCTGGTGCAGGAACGGGGGCAGGGGAAGGTCAGGGAGGTCGTGACATGACTGCACTGGACCCTCCTGGTGGAGATCCCAGAAGGCAGAAGGGCTGGAGGACGCTCGAGGAAGGCGCGCCCAGGACTGCGATCGAGGAGCACGGGGCCAGGCGTGCCAGGTCCGACTGCAGATGGACCGGCGGACAGCGCACCCGGTGGCTACATGGCCTGCCAGCCAAGCAGAGAAGGAGGCGTGAGGTGGCTGGGGTGCAGGCCTGGAGCGGCGAGCCTGCAGCGAGTACCTTGTGTTTTCCAGAGTGCCGAGGCCGTCAGCCAGTGGCTTGCCACGTTCCAGCTACAGCTGTACACTCCCAACTTCGTCAGTGCTGGCTACGACCTGCCCACCATCAGCCGCATGACCCCCGAGGTGAGCTTCCTGCGGGCTGCCTGCCAGCTGCATCCCAGAGACAGGCCCAGCCTCCTGCTGATGGGCTCCCCTCTGCCTAGGACCTCACGGCCATCGGTGTCACCAAGCCAGGCCACCGGAAGAAGATCACAGCAGAGATCAGTGGCCTGAGTGTGCCCGACTGGCTGCCTGAGCACAAGCCCGTAAGGCCCTCTGCACCCCAGTGGCTGGGCCCAGGACGGGCAGACAGACAGACAGACTGGCTGGCTCCCCACCCCTAGGGGCTCCAGGGAGAGGACAGTGGAGGACAGGCCTCCAGCAGTGAGCCACCTGGACAGCCAGTTTGTCTGTCCTGGGCACTGGCACCAGACTCCCTGGGGCAGGGGTGGGGGTCAGAGGAACCTGGAGCCAGGGGAGTCCCCGTTTCCACCTCCCTGCCCCCCAAAAAGACCCCCTCTGCACACAGGCTGCCCTACAGGGACCCCTAGCCACGCCAGCCCCTGAGCACCACCTCTCACACACGCATGCAGAGCTGGCAGGGCCTGAGTCCACCGCATCCAGCACGTGTGTGCACTGAATGCCCTCCAGGTACCTACCGACAACTGCATGTGCACACACATGCTCCACCGCACATGTGGCCCATGCTGACAGGTGACACTTCCATTTCCAGCCATACCTGTACACATTGGCCTGTGCTGTCACTACAGGGAGGTGGAGTGAGTAGGGTCTGGGCCTGGAGGAGGTGGGCCCAGGGCCTGGCCCAGCCTGAAGCTCTGGGGTCCTGTCCACTGATGGGAGAGGTGCTCGGTGGCCACCAAAGGCCCTCAGGGTCCTGGATCTGTTGCCGGGCGGTCTGCACTCACAGTTGGTGCACACGCACCCCGCCCTGCCCCACTCAGTCAGCGGCTCAGGGGGCCTCCAGGGGGCACGTCTGGGTCCTGTGGGCCTCGCCTTGCCCTGTGCACCTGGGGTGACTGAGTGTGCCAAGTGTGGGTGCAGGAGTGACGTCCAGCTGGGAGTGTGGACACCTGGATGCCGCTCAGGGAGCGATCGGTGGCTCTAAGTGGATTGCTGTGGATATCTGCACGTGCATGTGGCTGTGTGGCACAAGTGTGGCTGTGTGTCTGACGCAGGTGGGCACACAGTGAGAGGGCGTGAGCGTGGCACGGGACAGGATGTCAGTGCCTGTGTGCGGCTGGGAGCGCAGTGTGCAGCGTGTGCATGTGTACACGTACTTGGTGTGGTGCTGTGTGTCTGTGTCCATGACGTGTGGGGTGGGTCTCCTCAGGGTGCTGTGCCCACGGCTGCCTGGCCGGCGGCAAAGCCCTTGCTTCTCCCCTCAAAGGGCGTCCTGAGGAGGGGCCGTCCCCGTGTGTATGTTTGCGTGTGGGGCCGTGCTGAGGCGCTGGCCCTGGGCTCCTGCCGAGGTTTGCCTGTGAGGTTTCCAACGATGGCACCTCGGCCTGTCCGTTTGTCCTCCTGTCTGTCTGTGCCCTGCTGGCCCAGCACCCCTCCTCCAACAGCCCTGAGCGGGTGGGCAGGGTGTGGGCAGCCAGCTCGGGCTGCCCCTCTGTGTCCCCTGCTCTGTAGGCTAACCTGGCTGTGTGGCTGTCCATGATCGGCCTGGCCCAGTACTACAAAGTGCTGGTGGAAAATGGCTACGAGAACATCGACTTCATCACCGACATCACCTGGGAGGACCTGCAGGAGATCGGCATCACCAAGCTGGGTGAGGGCCCCAGCCCCAGGCCCAGCCCCGGCCCCCGCAGCTCCTGGTCCACCTGACCTGCCCTCTGTGCACCTCTCAGGACACCAGAAGAAGCTGATGCTGGCAGTGCGGAAACTGGCGGAGCTGCAGAAGGCAGAATACGCCAAGTATGAGGGGGGACCCCTGCGTCGGAAGGCACCCCAGTCACTGGAAGTGATGGCCATTGAGTCACCACCCCTGCCTGAGCCTGCGCCAGCTGAATGCCAGTCCCCTAAGATGACCACCTTCCAGGACAGTGAGCTTAGCGGCGAGCTGCAGGCTGCCTTGACTGGCCCGGCCGAGGGGGCCACTGCTGCTGCTGCCGAAAAACCTCCCAACCACCTGCCACCCACCCCAAGGGCCACTGTGCGGCAGGAGCCCAGCCTGGGTGGGCGGGCACGGCACATGAGCAGCTCCCAGGAGCTGCTAGGTGACGGGCCCCCTGGGCCAGGCAGCCCCATGTCTCGAAGCCAGGAGTACCTGCTGGATGAGGGGCCAGCCCCCGGCACCCCCGCCAAGGAGGTCCGGGCTGGCCGCCATGGTCACAGTGTCAAGAGGGCCAGTGTGCCCCCAGTGCCTGGCAAGCCACGGCAGGTACTCCTGCCCGGTGCCAGCCACTTTACACCCCCACAGACACCCACCAAAGCCCGGCCAGGCTCCCCCCAGGCCCTTGGGGGACCTCATGGTCCAGCCCCAGCCACGGCCAAGGTGAAGCCCACCCCACAGCTGCTACCACCCACGGAGCGACCCATGTCACCTCGCTCCCTTCCACAGTCACCCACGCACCGTGGCTTTGCCTACGTGCTGCCCCAGCCTGTGGAGGGTGAGGCCGGGCCAGCTGCCCCAGGGCCTGCACCCCCGCCTGTGCCAGCAGCTGTGCCAACGCTATGCCTGCCCCCTGAGGCTGACACCGAGCCAGGGCGGCCCAAGAAGCGCGCCCACAGCCTGAACCGCTACGCAGCGTCTGACAGCGAGCCTGAGCGGGACGAGCTGCTGGTGCCTGCCGCTGCAGGGCCCTACGCCACGGTCCAGCGGCGTGTGGGCCGCAGCCACTCGGTGAGGGCACCTGCTGGCACCGACAAGAATGTCAACCGCAGCCAGTCGTTCGCTGTGCGGCCCCGCAAGAAGGGGCCCCCACCGCCCCCACCCAAGCGCTCCAGTTCAGCTATGGCCAGTGCCAACCTGGCTGATGAGCAGGTGCCGGACGCCGAGGCCGAAGACGGCCTGCTGGGGGTCCGGGCACAGCGCCGGCGGGCTAGCGACCTAGCTGGCAGCGTGGACACGGGCAGTGCCGGCAGTGTGAAGAGCATCGCAGCCATGCTTGAGCTGTCCTCCATTGGGGGTGGGGGCCGGGCTGCCCGAAGGCCTCCCGAGGGCCACCCCACGCCTCGGCCTGCCAGTCCAGAGCCGGGCCGGGTGGCCACGGTACTGGCCTCCGTGAAGCACAAAGAGGCCATTGGGCCTGATGGGGAGGTGGTGAACCGGCGCCGCACGCTCAGCGGGCCAGTCACTGGACTTCTGGCCACTGCCCGTCGGGTGCCCGGGGAGTCGGCAGATCAAGGCCACTTTGTGGAGGACGGTGCTGGCCGGCAGCGGCCTCGAGGTCCAGTCAAGGGTGAGGCAAATGTCGAGGGCCCACCCCTGGCCAGGGTGGAGGCCAGTGCCACGCTCAAGAGGCGCATCCGGGCCAAGCAGAGCCAGCAGGAGAACGTCAAGTTCATCCTGACCGAGTCTGACACAGTCAAACGCAGGCCCAAGGCCAAGGAGCGGGAGGCCGGGCCTGAGCCACCTCCGCCCCTGTCTGTGTACCAGAATGGCACGGGCACTGCACGCCGCCTGCCGGCCTCGGAGCAGGCTGGGCCCCCGGAGCTGCCCCCGCCACCCCCACCTGCAGAGCCGCCGCCCACGGACCTGGTGCACCTGCCTCCACTGCCCCCACCGGAGAGTGATGCCCGGAAGCCGGCCAAGCCGCCTGTGTCTCCCAAGCCTATCCTGGCTCAGCCCGTACCCAAGATCCAGGGCTCGCCCACACCCACCTCCAAGAAGGTGCCGCTGCCAGGCCCTGGCAGCCCAGGTAGGTGCATGGAGCCAAGTGAGGGCAGCCCGGAGTCAGGACCCCTGCCCTGTCTCCCTACTCTGAGAGGTTTTCCTCCTCTTGGATTTGATGGAAGTCCAGGTGGGGTAGGGTGGGAAAGTGTCCCCAGACCCTCTCATCCACCCACTGTTGGACAACCCTGCCAGCCTAAGGCTGGAGTAAGGTGGATGGCCCTCCCTGACGTAGGCGCAGAAGGGAGAGGAGAGGATTCCAGACAGAAGGATCAGGGGTGCAAAGGCCCTGAGGCATGCAGGCCACCTCTGGAGGGGGTTTCGGAAGCAGCGAAGCTAGCTTTGCAGCTGAGGGTGCGGCCCCTGGCGGCCGCGGGAGGCTGGGGCCCAGAGGCTGCGGGGCAGCGGCTGCGCGCCGGGTGCGGGAGCTGGCGCGGCCCGTGCCTACCGGGGTGCCAGCGCAGTCCTCCCCGCAGAGGTGAAGCGCGCCCACGGCACGCCGCCGCCCGTGTCTCCCAAGCCGCCGCCACCGCCCACGGCGCCCAAGCCGGCCAAGGTAGCGGCAGGGCTGCCGGCAGGCAGCGCCAGCCCGTCGCCCGCGCCCTCGCCGGCGCGCCAGCCGCCCGCCGCCGCCAAGCCTGCCGGCACGCCGCCCTCGCTGAGCGCCAGCCCCGCCAAGCCCCCGTCCCCCGAGATCGGAAGAGCGCACGTCCCCGCCAAGCCCCCGCGCGCCGCCGCCGCCGCCGCTTCCGGGGCCCCCGCCGCGCCTGACGGCGCCTCGCCCGGGGACAGCGCCCGGCAGAAGCTGGAGGAGACGAGCGCGTGCCTGGCCGCGGCGCTGCAGGCGGTGGAGGAGAAGATCCGGCAGGAGGACGGGCAGGGCCCGCGGTAGGCGCGGGGCGGGGCCGGCCGCGGTGGGCGGGGCCGGAGCGGTGGGCGGGGCCTCAGCCAGTCCGGAACCCCGGAGCGGGCGGGGCGGCCTGGCATGTGGGGGGCGGGACTCTGTGGGGGGGTGGGGCCTTGGCCGTTAGGGTTTGGGGCAGGGCTTGGCCGCGTGGGCGGGGCCTGCACGTGGTGGGCGGGGTTGAGGGCGGGCCTCGGCCCGTTAGGACGGGGCGGGGGCGGGCCTCGGCCGAGTGGGCGGGGCCCGGCGTGGTGGCGTGGTCTCCGCCGCCCGCCCGGCTCACGCCCGCCCGCCCGCCCGCAGCCCCTCGGCCGCGGAGAAGAGCACGGGCAGCATCCTGGACGACATCGGCAGCATGTTCGACGACCTGGCCGACCAGCTGGACGCCATGCTGGAGTGACGCGGCCACGTCGGGCCGCCCGCGCCGCCAGGGCTGCGGCCCCGCACACTGACCTTTACCTCAGGACGGGCACGTCTGGGCGCGGGCGGGCGGCCGGCGCCGGCACAAGCACAACTCCTGCCCCTGGGCCCGGGCCGGGGCCCCAAGGGCTCTGGGCAGACGCCGCTGCCCCGGGCCCGTCCCCGCCTGCTGCTCCTGTGCAATAACCGCTGGCCCCCGCGCCAGGCCCTGCCCGCTGCGGGCGCCCTGGAGAGGGAGGGCGGCGCCGTGGCCGCTCCCCGGCTGGGGCAGAGCACAGGCCTAGGCCCAGCACAGAACTGCCCACTGGGAGCCTCTGCCAGCTGCTCCGGCGCAGCACAAGGGCCAGGGACCAAGGTCAGGGCCCCCTGCCCCACTGCACCCCCCAGAATATAAGCTATCAAGAGTATTAATTTATTGGGAATGAGCTGAGGCAGATTTCCCCAGAGAAACAAAAAGGTATAACTTTAACAAATATATATTTAAAGAAAGAAATATTATTGATTCTATAGAAAACCATTTACCAACTGAAAGGACACTGGAGTCTAGCTTGAGACAGAAGCTGTTAGAGGCCCAGGCCGTCTGTCTGTCCACGCTTCCCTCCCTGTGCCCCGGAGTGGCCAGGCCCCTGGCCCACTAGCACAAACAGGAGGCTGGGGTCCAGGGAGGGGTGGGTCCTCCGCCCAGGGTCTCTCCTCTGCTCTTCTCTCTCGTAATTTCTCCGCGTCTGAAGAACTCAAAGGATGTGCCTTGCTCACTGATGGGCTGTGTCCTCCTCCCGGGTGTGGCTGCGTCCTGGGGGTGCTGGTGCGAGGTGTGCTGTGCGTGCAATGTGGTGAACGTGGGCGTGTCAGCCAAGTGACAGCAGCGTGGGTGCAGGGGCATGCGTGCCAGGCTCCATGTGGCTTGAGGCTCGTGTGCGAGGGTGCGCCCAAACCTCTCCCCCCAGGCCGCATGCTGGCCCTGCAGGGCAGCCAGCCCACCCCACCCAAGTTCCAAGGACACTTCTACTCATGGTCCAAGGCTGTGTCGTGTGGTTGTTCCCGCCTTCTCTTCCCCTCCTGTCTCTTTCTCCCTCTCCAAGAAGTACTGACTGGTCTCCTCTCTCGTGTTTGCTGATCCACAAGTGTTGGGCACAACTTTGACATTTCTTTAAAAAAAGAATTAAAAAAAAAAACGCCGAAAACCAGCAATTGTGGTGCGGGGCGGGTGGAGGGGGCTGGCTGAGGGGGCATCTGGGCATGCGGGGCCCTTTCCAGGTGTTACACCCAGTGCTTCCCTGAAAGTGGATGTGTCCGGACGCCCACCCGGCCTCTCTTCGGTGGGTGGCCCAGGCTGGGGCTCCAGCAGGTGGGGAGGGGGGTCGGGGCAGGGAGCTGCTGTCGGCTGTCAATAAACAGCAGAAAACAGAGCTGCCTGGCTCACTTTTTGGGAGTGCGTGTGTTGGGGAAAGCAGGGAAGCAGGGCTGGAAGCCAGGGCCAAGGTGTGCCAAGCCTCCTCCTGGCATGTAGGTCCCCAGAGGGGACGCAGTCCTGGGCTCAACCAAAGGAACTGCTCTGTGGTCTGTCCCCAGCGTCCCTCATCCTCATGGCTGGTGCCAGTGCACACCAACTTTCTCAAGGCCACACACAGCCCCCTTACTCCAAGGACCTGACCTCACTCAGCGCCACAGTCTGTGCAGCTTTTATTTCAATCGGGAAGTAATCAAATCTATATACAGTCTAAAAACAGTAGAAAAGGTGAGTAAAAAGGCCGGCACAGTCCATCTGGGGCGGGGACCGACGGTGAGCCGGGCAGCGTCGTACCTGGCACCCAGAGAGAGGGGCCTGGGCATTGTCCTGGCAGCAGCAAGGACAGGACTGAGCACAGGGCAGGGAGGGCACTGCTTGGCTGCCTGAGCCTGTCCACCTGTCCCCACAGGGCAAGCAGAGACCCCCGTGACCAGCCCATGTGGCCAGCCTGGCTCAGACAGTTCCAGGGCAGGCCAAGAAGCAGCCAAGGCCTGGCCTGGATCCTGTTAGCAAGTCCAAACCTGCAAAGAAAGGGATGTTTCATTCAGGTGACCTGTGGCCATCCTACCCCAATGACACTGAGGTCCACACCTGCTCTCCACCGCCACTCGCCTGGGGCTGCTAGCTCCTCACCACCCTTCCCCTGCTCCTGCTGTTCTGTGTAGCCCCTTTGGGTGGCCCAAGCCCCAGACACTCACCTTCACGGTGCTATCCACAGCCCCTGAGAAGAGCCGGCCCCTCGACACGGCCAGCGCAGTGACGCTACCCTGGTGGCGCAGCAAGGTCTGCGTGCAGATCATGTTGTCCATACTCCAGACCTGGGGGGACGCAAGTGATGTGAGGACCCACTGGAGCCCGGGCACCCATCCTCTGAGCATCCCACCACCTGGGACAGCACGCACCCTGAGGGACCGGTCGTAGGATGCACTGAAGACTTTGGTCTGATCTGGTGTGGAGATGACTGCCAGGGCATACACCGTGCCCACGTGGCCGGTCAGGGTCCGCACCTGCTCCTTGGACTCAATGTCCCACACCTGGAAGGGTGGGCACAGGCAGGTCAGAGAGAAAACGAGGTGGGGGACATGGGCCCAGAGTCTCGCCCTGCCCCCAGGTGGCCACTCCTTACGTGGATGAGGTTCTCATAGGTGCCACAGACAATGTGGTGATTTGTCACAGCGATAGAGTAGACGCTGCCGCCAGACGTCTGCAGGACATGGATGCAGTCGAGGGTTCGGATGTCCCAGATCTATGGGTAAGTGGGGGCCACTTGGTCCCAGGCCAGGCACCTCACCTCCAGGGCCTCTGGGGCTCAAACACCACAGGGCAGCCCACCTGCCCACCCAGGGTGTGTACGAGGTAGGGCAGGGAGGGCAGAGCCCCCCGGGGCAGGGTGTGGTTCGGGCGCACCTTGATTGTCTGGTAGGAGCCGCTGTACAGGTAGCTCTGGGCGGCCACCAGGGCCCGCACCCAGTGGTTGAGGCCTGTGAGCTCCTTCTTCAGCTTCAGCTCGGTGCCCACGATGTCCCAGACCTGCACGATGGCCGTGAGTGTGGGCTGAGCGGGCATCGGACGCCTCGGCAGCTGCACCCACAGGCACCCCTCGCCATACCTTGATGGCCTTCAGAGAGCCACTGAAGAGCATGTTGTGGGAAGAGACCAGGGTGCACACTGGGTTGTCATGGGCCCGGATGGTGTTCACCTTCTGCAGGTTCTGGACGTCCCACACCTAGCAGGGAGGATGGGAAGCCTCAGAGCCCAGAGCCCTGGAAAGGGTGTGCCGGGAGTGTGGAGTGTGTGCCGGGTGCCCCCTCCCCCCGCCTGCCCACGGCCCCTACTCACAATGATGGTGCAGTCTGCAGAGCCGCTGTAGAGTTTGCACCTGGGGAAGCAAGACCAATGTGTCAAGGCAGGAGAAACTGCCGTCTCTCCTGACACTGCCCTAGCCAGGGAGGAGGTCCGCCTGGCCACAGGGAACCTGCAGCTTGGCCCAGTGCAGTTTCCCAAAGCCGCAGCCTGTTTTCCTGTCTCCACACAGGAACCTTGGAAGTGGCAGCCCAACCCCTGGTGCCTGCCTGGAGAGCATTTGACAGCGAGCTGGGAGGTAATTACCCGACTGTTAGCGCTGAATAAATCCCGGGGTCCTGGCAGTCAAGCTGCCACTCCCTGTAAGCAAGCATCTCTCCCTCTCTCCCTCCCTCCCTCCCTCCCTCCCTCCCTCTCACACACACACACACACACACACACACACACGCACGCACACACACGCATACACAAACACACTCTCACTCCCACAAAGCCAGGGTGGCTGCTCCATGGCCTCATGCCCAGAGCTGTGCCAGGGCTCTGGCTGCAGGCCAGTGACAGCTGAGCACCTGCCTCCACCTCTAATGTCCTAGACCTCTGTCCTCTGGGTGCCTGAGGAGGGCGAGGGCCAGGGCCAGGGCCAGGGCCAGGCTGCTCAGACTTCAGAGAAGACCCACAAAGGAGCTCACCTCCTGCTACCTACCCAGTGAGCCAGCGCTGTTCAGGGTAGAGGGCACACGGCCATGCAGGCTTGAGCTCACAGTCCACAGGCTGCAGCAGCAGCATGGTGGCTCCTGTCCCTGTGAGCAGTGGCCATATATGCACCTGGACTCACCCCTGGATGCAGAGAGCCAGCACGATGCCATCATGGCCTTCCAGTGTCTTCTGGCACTTGTAGGTGGTACATGTGTCCCACACCTGCAGAGACCAGGGCCAGAATAGGTCCCAGCAGGGTCAGCCCAGTGCCAAAGGGCACCATGGCAAGAAAGGAAGGAAGCCATCAGTGAGAAGGCCCGCCCAGGGGCAGGCTACAGCTAGCAGAGACTGGCATGCAGTGTCCACCCAGCACAGCCAAGCTGCAGGACCCCACCCACCTTGATGGTCTTGTCAGAGGAGCCACTGAAAAGCAGGTCACCCATGGAGTAGACACACAGACACCAGACGGGGCCCTGGTGGCCCACGAAGGTTCCTTTGCACTTAAAGATCTGCTGAGGGTCATAGGCTGCAGAGAGATAGGAGAAGCTGTGAGGGACCTAGCGGGGGCCTCAGGGGTGGCAGGTAGAGCCGAGGGGCCCATACTTACATCCTAGGATGCCCATGTTCAGCCGCGCATTAATGTGGGACAGCTCGTCCTGCAAAGCCAGGAACAGAGGGAAGGGCAGGTGGGCAGAGCTGCTGCAGCTGCCAATGCAGCCTCTCCATGGCGGCCTGGGCAGGGCAGCGTGACCCTCCCCAACCCTCCCCGGAGCACATACCCCTAATCCTGATCAGGAGGGGCGAAGGACAGAGGGGGAGGCTCCCTGCTAGGGCCCAGACTGAGACATGGTGCTCTGCCCGCAGACTGCCTCCTAGGTCTCACCTCCCGGCCCCCCGCCCACGGCCCCACCCACTCACGTTCAACATGGATGCGTCCCTCCGGAACTCCATGAGGTCCTCGCTGAGCTTGCTCTGGTTTTCGTCCAGGACATCTGAGTGGCAGAAGAGGGGGTGTCACTGGGGCCGGAAGCAGGGGCTGGGTCCCCACGCTTCTGGGCCAGC